TTCGACCCTAACAGCTTGAGCTGGCCCACATGGGGCCTCCGGTGTAGAAAAAGACGGAAAAAGGAGAGTGTCTCTCGCGAAAACTGCTCCAATCAAGTATTACCTCGCATAGTATCTGGGTAAGCGGTGCTGGTGTCCGTCCCAAGAAAGTTCAGCCAGTCCATGATCTTATGCATCAACCCCTCCTCCAACTTTGTGTTACCAATGACGTGGTAATTTGTTGTCAGATGGAGAGACAGATGTGAGTGGCCGCTTCGTACCGCAAAGAAAATCAGCCTAGAGCCAAGACATATGTATGTCTGACCTGAGACTATGATTGAACCGACGGGCCCGAAGGACCTGATTTATACCCGAGAATCTGGTTGAAACTAGAATGTACGGCAAGGGTGATCGACAGTCTCCTGGTCCTTGAAAATATCTTCCACTTCTGAACGCCTTCGGAAGCACGTTTCGGCAAGTATATGCGCCCATTTACTTTGGAAAATTCAGCCCATGCATGACTTGTGTCACAGTGAGGAAAGTGCGGATAGAGGTTCCGTTCATTCCTGTCGTATCACAAGCACGTATTCCATCACTTGGGCTTGCGTCCTCAAAGATGATTCCGTTTGTCGTCGTTATCGAACGAGCTCGACCCGCTTATGCGGAGAGTGGTGGCAATCAGGATATTTACTTCACTCGAGCCTTGATTGGAAGGTACGCAGTCATTAGTCCCGACTTGTAGCTTGGTGGCACATACAGCCGGGATTTGGAGCGAGCTACTTGACACATAACGTTTGTGGTCAACTCTGCGAAGTAAATCAAGAGCTGTGGTTTTTTTATTCTAGAGATGCCATATCCTTGCTAGTCGCTTTGTCTGCATGCTATGAGGCGCCTCTAGCTTGATTCCAGTGTAACCCAAGCCGGCTCCGATATGCGAATAAAGTCGGGAGTGCCTCGAGGGAGACATCAGGCAGCTTTTTCGGATTTTGTTCCGGAGACTAAGGTGATCAACTGGAGCTGAGAAGCTTGTCTTCAATTAGATACAGTGGCTTTTTCTTCTCGGATGTCCCGTTCAGAGGCGCAAGATAAAGTAAGTCGTACTGGAGCCGGAGCCGCTTCATGATCTCCTGTGCCTACCAGGTTTGAATCTTATTTGAGAGCGAGAAATGCCGACTACGTAAAAAGCGTTGTCAATACAGAAACTAATGTGGATGATCTCGTATTGACGTGGTCTTCACTCTTTTGAGGGGTGGACAGGGTCTAAGAAAACGACGCTGATAAGGCACAATTACGCCAGAAGCCAACTTATGTGGCAAGCCCTTGCGGGATGTCCAATCCTGAGGAAGATCACGACAGTTGAAACTTCTCGTATGGAGTTGAATGTGGCTTCAAGACATCGTTGAGAATTAAGGACACTAAGAAAGCCCACGAACCAATGGGGCAATCCCGCTGTCAAACCCCCAGCTATGAACGTTGAGGTTCCACATCTACGGACTTCCCCAGTCCCCGCTCCGAACCCGGGCATCACAGTGACGGCGATTTGGACCGGCTACCTACCGTAGACTTCTGGTTCCCCTTGCAGCTGCTTCCTTCTGCCTTGTTCCTGTTAATTGCCCTCTTGAGTCCGAGTCGCTGCCTGGCGCGTGCGCCGACGCGGGAGGCTTCCGCGACCAGTCTGTTCGTCCCGTCTCGCGATCTCGCGAGTTCGATGTCATCCGATGTGTCCAACCACTAGCACGCGAGATGACATCTGATGTAGCCAGTCGCTGATTATCTCACACAACCCAATGAAAATTTCAGGAGGGCTCGCCCCCCACAGGTTAAGAAGTATCCTTCGGCGATCTTTGCCCCGCGGGCGGAGGGGGCGCCACAACTGCATGTCAGCACGGCACTGAGAGTGCCGCCTGTTTTAGCAGACTACTGTCCAATCTCGTATCTTACTGCGTCAAAAGCGCAAGTTCGTCCTGAGACTCTCACTGGCACGAAACTACAGGTACAGTGTGATGTCGTGCGCGTAGTAAGCCCTTATAGTGCATACCCGCGCTCCTGATGGTCGTTCCCGCGCGTGCTCGGACGATTTTAACGAGCCAATCTAGTACGAGCTGTCTCAAAAACTTCAACGACATGTTTGACTGAGTCTACTATAGCCAGAGCAGAATCTGAAGTTGACGAAGTTAAACAAAGTAGAAGAATTAGGCATGTGACGGAATATTTCGCTGGACCTTTAGCGCAGTTTTGCATGGTGTCAAGGGTCCTAGACGGAATCGGCTGTGGCCAAGTCACGATGTGACACTGCCCCTGCCATGCGGCGCAGGCGTCTTCTCTATCCCTGCTTGTAAATCCTGCAGGTCTCTCATCGGAACGAGCCTGTCAATGGGGTCTTGAGACATATCCCGCCCTATTGATTTGCCTCAGCGATAAACTTGTGCGTAACAACAGGCTGCCATCTTAGCTTACACAGGAATGCCCGATGCGCCTCTCAGGGCGTCTATTTGCCAGATCGGGAAAGCCAGTGACGAACCCTGCAAGCATCTAGAGCTAAGATATCACTTGGCGGTGATGTTCAAGGCTGAAAGGAAGCACAGATGCGAGGGATGCTTATCCTACAGACCCCTAGCTCGCTCTGCTTCGGACTTCACGGAGTCAACATCGTGCGATTCCATTCCGAAAGCAGGCAATCGCAAGATTTTCATGCCCGTTCAAGGTGTACCGAATTGACCTCATGTACACGTCGCGCCGTGTAACAAGCTTCACCATGCGGTCTCCGGCGTGATGAGGAGCGTCTGAACGCTCCCATTTGTTGTCTTCCCGCACTTTCAGCTGGGAATGCCGATGACACTCGAATCCGAGTCTCTTCACAGAAAGGGACTTTGGATGGTTTCGACCAAGTCGACCCAACCAAAGGTCTTCCGCCAAGTTTACCAGCCCTACATGCTGCAAGGTTGAGTAACTGCTTCTCGGAATCTCGGGTAGTTACGTAGCAGTATATCTATCTGCAATGCCACCCCTCCGCTGTCTCCATTTCCCCTTCCTGGTTCCCCAGAGCATCCACTGTCACCCTCTTCTCAAGCAGGAAACTTTGAGAGCCTCATTATGGAGAGCTTTACTCTCGTCATATTTTATCTTGGCATTCTAGTGGTGCCTGGTGTCCTATTCTCTTCTCTCCGACGCTTGGCAGGATGGTCCACAAAAGCATCGGTGGATGGCAAGACATCCAAGCCTCCTGCCAAATTCCCTGGTCCCAAGCAATACCCAGTCGTCGGTCGGGTCCACGACTTGCCCAGATTTGCCATGTGGCTCAAGCTCAAGGAATGGGCAGATGAGTTCGGGCCAATTTATCAAACCAGCATGCTTGGCCAGAAGTTCGTAATCATTTCTGACGAAGGAATGGCTCAAGATCTCCTCATCAAAGATGGCAACAAATTCGCCGGAAGACCCCAGATCAGGGCGCTCATTGACCATAAGTTGGGTCCGGCATATTCTGCCTTGATGGACCGCCATGGTGAGTAACACCAGAACCATGATCAACTTGACAATCGACCCGAGGCTGAATTTATCAACAGATACTTGGAAACATCAGAGAAAATGGGTCCATGCGGCTATGGCAGCTGCTCACCAGCATCACTTCTATGGTCACATCGAGAACGAGGTCAAGCGGTGGCTGGTGACCCTCCTTGTTGACCCAGAGAAATTTCACGGAAACACTCGCGAGCTGACAGGACGCATCATCAGCCGCCTTGCTTGGGATGACTCCACACAAGGACGGGCCTATGGCGAGAGTGCCATTGAAACCTTGACAAGGATGTCCATCTCTGGTCCCATTGTCAACACCATGACACCACTGTGGCACATTGCAGACCTCGTTCGATACAATCCTTGGCGCAAGTACGAAGTGAACCGAGAGAAGAACCAGCGTGCTTGGTGGTTGAAAACATTCAGGCTTGCCAAGGCAAGATATCTGAGAGGAGACTTACCATCAGACACGTGGACCTACCGGTACTTCGAGCAGCTGCAAAAGAGTGGAAATGAGACTCTTAAGCAGACTGAGAAAGCCGAAGACTTTGCAGCCTGCATGCTTGGCTTCCAATGCCTTGTTGGAGTCGTCACTATTTCTGGGCCTATGCAGTTTTTCCTGATGTGCATGGCACTCCATCCCGAGTGGCTGAAGAAATGCCAAGAGGAGATTGACAGGGTCTGTGGCGATAGGATGCCGACTCGCGACGACTTCGCCGAACTTCCAACCGTAAGAGCCTGCTTGAAAGAGACCCTCCGGTGGAGGTCTGGGGTGCCTCTTGGTGAGTAATTTGTTGCGGAGATGACGAATTTGGAGTAGGTATGAGTACTGACAACATCTGCTCAGGGGTTCCCCATCAGTGCGAGCAGGATTCTGAATTCCGCGGCGTGAAGATCGAAAAAGGAACAATTATACTTGCATGCGAGTGGTATGTCTCCCCGCGCTGTTCTTAATCAAGCCTTGATTGACGCGACCCAACTGCAGGAACATCAACCGTGTCCCGGAAAAGTATCCCGACCCAGAACACTACCGCCCGGATCGCTACCTGGATCCCAGCTTTCCCACGTATCAGGAGCCACTCAGCCGGTACCCGAACTTCCGCGATGGTGTCGGCATGCATACGTTTGGGTGGGGTCGTCGAACATGCCTGGGCCAGAACCTAGTAGACGACGAGATGTTCGTCGCTGGAGCAGGCGTATGCTGGGCCTTTGACATGAGCCTCAAGAAGTGCCCCTCCACTGGCGAGGACGTGACGTTTGACACGCAGGCGACGAACTCCAACGTTATTCTGGAGCCTCTGCCATTCCCAATGCAGTTCAAGATCAGAAGCCCTGAGCGAGCTAAAGAGGTGTTTGAGGGGTACAATGCCGTCAGGGATGCTCTGAAGGTTTGAGTAAGTCTAAAGCAATGATGTGATCCAAGATTGTGTTACATAGATAAAGTAGAAAACAGTGTCATGTTGTAACAAAGTTATGCAGCAAGTCCATATCCAGTTGGTATTGTGATCCTATTTCTTACGGTACACATCTCCTGTTCTCTCGATCTCAAGGTTCGCGTCCTTACCACGACCCTCCTTCTCGAACTGTCTTACGAGGGGCAAAACCTCCCGTCCAAACTGCTCAATCTCTTCATCGTAGTGTAAGAAGGCGGTGAGCACTAGGTTAACACCCAAACTCTTCAACAAAACGAGTCGCTCAGCAACTTGCTCCTTAGTACCAATGAGCTTTGTCTTGAAGCCATCGTTGTACTGTACCAAGTCGTCAAACTTGCTATCGGCCCACATGCCCTTCTTGTTTGAGGTGCTGGCCCCAGCTTCTTGAACAGAGGCCCGGAACGCCTCGACGGCCTCCTTGTCCGCCTTGCCTTGGATCTCCTGCAACACGCGAACGGCCTCTTCTTCTGTTTCACGAACGATGACAAAGCCGTTCACCGCGAAGCGCACCTGGTCCTCGCGGCCGACCTTTGCCGCGCGGGCCTTTACGTCCGCAATCTGGTTACGGAAACCATCGAGGTCGTTGCCGTTCATGAAGTACCAGTCACTGACCTCGGCGCCATTGTTCCTGGCGTCGTCGCTGTTGCCGCCCTGGAAGATCTCGGGATGGGGTTTCTGGACTGGCTTAGGATTGAGTACATAGTTCCTGTAGCGGTAAAAGTCACCGCCAAAGGTAAATCCTGTGTCCTCGGGTGCGGTCCAGATGCCTTTGAGACAGCGGATGAACTCATTGCTGCGACGGTAACGCTCAGCATGCTCCAACCACCATTCGCCGATGGCTGTAAATTCGCCCTTGAACCAACCGCTCACGATGTTAACGGCAATGCGGCCATTGCTGTAGTGGTCGATGCTAGCGATCTGCTTCGCCACCGTCGTGGGATTCCAGGGCCCAGGGAGAATAGCAGCAATGATCTTGACTGTGTCTGTTGCTTGAAGAATTGCCTGCGAGAAGGACACAGACTCATGTTGGTTTGCAGCACCATATCCAGACGTGAAGCGAATCTGTGTGAGGCCGTACTCGATGCCAGCTTGCTCTGCAGCCTTGGCGTATTTGACGTTGCTAGCCAGGTCCCAGTTTGTCCTCTGCGGGATCTTGCTGATGATCAAGCCCCCTGAGACATTGGGTACCCAGTATCTGTCAAGTTAGCTATTTGTCTGCAACGTTTGAGGAGGGAATACCTACGCGAAAAGCAGTCGTTCAGGGTCGCTATTGAGGGGGTGTGGTTGAGCGCTCATTTTCGCTGCGACGATGTGAAAAACGTAGGGTCAGTGGCTGCCAATTTTGCGCGTCAATTGTAATTGCAAGAAGCGATAAAGTCCCTTTTCACTTTGATCCGGTAACACTGAAGCAGATTGAGATTGAACGATGTTGACCAAGCACACTTTGGAGACGGGGAACGGAAGAATGGCAGGTTTTCAAATCCTATCATTAAGGCCAGTGACATAGCAACACTGACAGAAGAGGAGATGTGATCAGCACATATCAAACCATCATTCTGTATCTACCAGGATGTAGCTATGAGCTCGCTGGCGCGTTCTGCGCGATATATCCAGATCGACGTTGCGGAGGAAGTTCCGTCGAATTGACGACATTGGCGAACCTATGCCTAGCTCTGACGTGATTTTCAAATACCACTTTACGACGCATGCCGGAATTTAGATTGATACAATCGGAGCCAGTCACGGCACTTGAAGAAGCATGTGGTGCTGAGGGGAAAGGCTATGTGCCTTGCCGCTCACCCGTCCTCTCCAAGTGAGGCAATTGCACCATTATCAACTCAATGGCGAGATCGCCAGATCCCAGTTGACTGGGGTTTCCCCACGCTTCGATGGCTGCATCCACCCCAACATGGCGCGATGTAGGATTGGACCAAGATCTGCGAACTTTAATCTCAATCAATTGATTGAGACGAGTCTGAGCTTTCTACCACAGTAAGGTCTCATTGCAATGAGCAAGGATATAGCAAATTTTCGGGAAACTCACTGAGACCAGGGCCATGTCGTCGGGTTCATAGCTAAGTTCTCTTTGATTTATCTGCTGAAGGATCCGAAAGACAGACCTGCGGCTGCAACTCTCTACTTTTTTCTTCTTTCAACTTTTCTCGTCTGTTGTCCTACTTCGACTAAAATGTCCATCTACTCTTCAGCCCCCAATGGGGCAAGCGAGAAAGGGGTCGAATCTGTCAAGCCGGAGCCTACCTTTGAGAGATTCGAGACAGTAAATCATGGGCCTCGATTCACTGCACCAAGACCGCTTCCTACAGCAGCGGTAAGTACCACTTTACACGAATTGGTGATCCTTCCAACCATGTTTACTGATCAAAATGCCTTTAGACCTCACTTCCGATCGGAGCTTTCTCTACAACCTTGACGACGCTTTCCCTGAGTTTAATGGAGTGGCGAGGAGTGACAACAACCAATGTCTATATCGCAAACTTCTTCTTTCTAGCTGCCTTTGGCCTAGTAATATCTGCGCAGTGGGAGCTTACAGGAGGAAACGGCTTTGGTTACAGTGTCTTCAGTGCTTTCGGTAATCTCGAACGAAATCGCTTTCATCGCCTCCTCGATTGACAATTAGCGTACAGGCCTCTTTTACGCAGGTTACGGTGCCATATTGACTCCCTCTTTTGGGGTTGCCGCAGCATATGGCGATGATACCAAGCAGTTGAACAATGCTCTCGGCCTTTTCATGATCAGTGAGTGATGTATCAATTGTTGCAGTCAAAAAGTCTAATGCAAGGACTCTCGCGCAGTCTGGAGTGTCTTCGTTCTCGCCTACCTAGTCGCTACCATACCGACCAATGTCGTTTACATCCTGATCTTCATTTTCGTTGAGTTATGCTTCGTGCTGGTGGCTGCTAGCTACTTCGCTGCTGCCGATGGCCATGATAGCGCATCGGTTGGATTGAAGAAGAGTGGTGGCGTTTTCGCGTTCCTCGCTGGGCTTGTTGGATGGTAGGTGTCTAGCTGTTGCTGAGAACCGTTTTTTGCTCAACTAACATAACTCAGGTATCTAACTTTCCACCTTCTGCTAAAGGACTCTTTGGTAGAGTTACCATTGGGTGAGACTTCTCAGTACTTCCCCAAGACTCGGAAGAAGGTCGAGTAGCTTGCCACATTAAGACAACAGTACAATTTATTTATAGACCTGATGAAATGGGCACAGAGATATGTTGTATTCTCGAGAAATAAGGGCAAAATGGCTTGAGTAAATGAGAGAAGAAACGGATTCCAGCCGCTATTGTATCGAAGTGATAGAGACTGGTTCGTAGTCACTAGTCATACGCTTAGAATGTACATACCAGACGTTATGTAATCGCAAAATATATGACTCTCCTCTAGAACTCAACCTTCATCCTACGATCCGACCTAGGTGTCAGCTGTTAGTATTCGTTCAAGACCTTGAATCGCAGAGAAGTCAATTTGGCGGGAGAGGAAAACAGCATAATGGAACATGACATCTTGTGTCCTTCATCTACCTTGGCCGGCTGGATTGATGTTACAGGTGACAAAGATTGACAGCTAACCTCGAAGGATCGGAGCAGCCCATAGCCAGAAACTCAACTGAATGAAGTTCTTTTACGATGAAGCCTGATTGGTGCACTGCGAGGATATTCTGCGATTGCTGCAGAATAGCGTATATGGTGCCATCCTCGTGCTCGCAGACCCCTCTTTCAAAAACTCTCTGCGACAAGTCAGAGCAGCTGCCGAAACAATCATACTTTCAACGTCAGATAGAATATCTGCTCGATCACGAAAATCTTCTCAACAGGCAATTGTCCCTCGACAAAGGTAGTTGAGCTCCAATGTGACCTTATCCCTGCATGCCTCGCTACCTGTCGGTATTGGGTTGGGGGCCAGATGCGGAGGTGCGAAGTACACCCATGCGCGGACCCTAAGTCGTTGCGATTGCGACATATCACAACATAGCTGTGGACCCTCGCGCCACTGGCGACGGCGGAACGGAGTGCCGGCTATCGTTGAACCGTTAGACTACGGAGGCGGCACGGGCGGGCGTCTTTGAGCATATTTAGATATATGTTGGCGCAATTTGACATCAGAGATAGAAGGGAAACATTATTCATCCAGTCCTCTTACACGTCAGTCAAACGTTTCCCCGCCTGTTACAGATTTCTACTCGCATAGATCTCTCCCCCAAATTCATGCGAAAAGACAATCACTTGTTGGGAACACCCAAGAATCTAATTTCAAAAGTCGTTCAAAATGAGTAGCAACGCTCGTTCGGTTCCTGCAACCGACCCCAAAGTCTACGACGAGTACCAGCAGAAGTGGTCGTCACTTCCTACAGACGAAGCAACATGGCTTCAGCGAGCCAAAGACGTTGCAGACGTGCTAGCCGTAGATGCTGCGCAGCGTGAGAGGGAGAACAAGTCACCTAGAGCTGAGATTGCGCTGCTGAAGCATTCTGGTCTTCTCAAAGTCCTAGGCTGGAAGAAGTATGGCGGTGGTGAGCAGCCGTGGAGTGTCGGCTACAAGGTAATTCGTGAGGTTGCCAAGGGAGACGGGTGAGTTTGACCGAAGATTGAGTACTTTTGAGAGTTGAATTTCTGACATACTAGAATAGATCAATTGGCATGCTTCTGGGATACCATCTGCTCTGGTCAACGACGGCGAACGTCATTGGGAGCTCTGAGCAGGCAGACCGTACTCAGGATCTCATCATTTCCAACAACTACTTTGTTGGTGGTGCCGTAAACCCTCGCGACAGCGATCACAAGATCACTTCAGACGGCGACAATGTCATCTTCAATGGCTTCAAGAACTTCAACACCGGTGGAGTTATCTCCGACTTGACTGTTCTCGAAGGTGTCCTTGAGGGTACGGATGACCACTTGTATGCGTTGGTGAAAACTGACCAGCCGGGGATCATCTTTTCTCACAACTGGGATAATGTTGGCTTGCGTCTGAGTGAGTCTGGAAGCGTCAAGATTGAGAACGTCACTGCGCCCTGGTCTGATGCACTAGGATGGAATGCCGTCGAGAAAAAGCCAGATGACTCGATTCTCAAGATCCCGTTTGCAAGCCTGCTTCTTCCCACGTAAGAACCCAATTCTCAACACTTTGAAGGCAAAACCTAACTATTAGAAACAGGATTCAGCTCGTGTTCAGCAACTTCTACATCGGTATTGCATGGGGTGCGTTAGATTTTGCCTCGGCCTACACTAGAAAGAATACACGGGCCTGGCCCTTCGGTGGTGATGTAAGTGCTAGAACAGCCCCAATCAATTATACCCACATAATACTAATAGCGGACTTCAGGACAAGGAGAAGGCCGAGGATGAGTTTTACATCTTGTCCACCTACGGAAACTTCCTAGCTCATCTCCGTGCAGCCGATGCACTTGCCGATAAGGCGGGTCTCGAGATTGATGCATTGTACAAGTACTCTGGAGATCCATCAACTAGGGCTAAGGTCACTGCAAAGGCTCGAGGAGAAGCAGCGGAGTGGGTTGCTAGTGTCAAGGTCACGGCAACTGATACGGGACTTCGGGTTACGTCCGGTGTGTTCGAGGTGACGGGCGCGAAAGCCACCGGAACCAAGGTTGGCCTTGACAGATTCTGGAGGGATATCAGGACACACAGTCTGCATGATCCTGTGTCTTACAAAAACCGCGAGCTCGGTAGATATCAGCTGCTGGGCGAAATTCCTGAGCCAACATGGTACACTTAGAGAAGACACCAGGCGGAGGTATTAATGGATGTAACGCAATTTGAGCTTTGAATTTCTCTCATTCTCAGCAGACTGATCGTCGCTCAGAGCTTGCAAAATACAAATCTTTCCCACTACCATCTATGGCCTTGGATCAATAGCCTAGACGTCTATACTTACAGGTCTATATCGTGGAATTGTGAAAATGCTTGATAACTCCCCACAGAGATTTTACAGAGAGGTCGACGCATCGGCAAACTTACTCTTGCCCCGAATAAGCTTTCCATATCTGAAGAATAGGTAAGGAAAAACCATCATTCCAATGGCCAAGAAGCCCAGAAGTGACGAGGCCCATTGAAACCCGAGCCTCACGTACATCTGATTTCCAAACAGCGGGAATGCAGCTATGAAGGGATCAGTTCGATTATGCACCAAGACTCGCAACTCGTCTAGGGACACTTACCAGCCGCCAAGCAACGGACAAAGGAATTGGCAGCTAGCGCACTGGCAGCATATCTGGGATATGCTTCAACCTGTTCTCTGTTAATGACTTTCTACAGTCTTGGTAATTCTTCTGGGCTACGCACCAGAAAGGTCCAGATACCAGTGAAAAGAAGGATGTTTCTGTTGGGAAGAACATTGTGTTAGTCCAAAACACTGTCGAAAGGGCGAAAACGATTGCATGCATATTTCAAAGCCCAACAAGACTTACCCAGCCCCGAACATTGCTGTCCCAACGATGGGAACTATCCAATGCACCCAAGGATACATAGACCAACCAAAAATGAAAATTCCCATTGGAACAAGAATGGAACCGAACATAGCGGGTGGAAGTCGGAACTCAGGCTCGCTGCCATCTCCATTTTCGCCTTGGCCCTTGTTCTTCAACATGAGTCTTATCCTGACTTTATGCCATACCGGATCGGTGGCAATACCCAGCAGCATACCAACCAAGATCCCCAGAAAGCTACAGCCAATCTGATAGAGATTGAAGCCATAAGTCTCTCTAAAAACAAGAGGGAACGCTCCAAAGAATAAGTATAGTATGCCAAGTAGCAAAGCCGAGAATAGGCAAAGAGAAAGACACATTGGCTCGAAAACGAGGAGCTGAATGGGCCGCAATAACGATATCCCAACTGCACCGAGCACAGATTTGGAATGCATCTCCGAAGGTGCTTTCCAACGATCATCCCCGGTTTCTTTCCGAAGATTGCGAGCCTTGTTCCTTAAGAGAATGGGATCTGATGTGCTATGTCAGTTGCGACTTCTTGGAGGGGGGTCATCAAGCTTACGATAAGTTTCGGGGACAAGAAAGACAATTCCCAGCTCTAGGACAAAAGACCACATTATGAGGACGTAGAATGTCCAGCGCCACCCGGTATAATAGTTGATGAACCCACCGACTAAGGGTCCTAGGCTTGGTCCAATGAACGGACAGATGGAAAATAACAGCATGGGCGCTTGCAATTCGTCGTTTGAAAACAAATCTCGGACGGTTCCAGCGGATACAGCTTGGAAAGCGCTCCCTGAGAACCCGTCCAAAAAGCGAAGGACAACTAATGTGGCGATGTTTCTTGCTGTTGCTTGGGGGATCAGAAAAAGCAAATGGCAAGTGGACGAGATCAAGTAGATAGGCCTCCGCCCATAAAACTCGCTGAGAGGACTGAAGAGCATCGGCCCTAGCGACAAACCGAGGACAAAAGTTGACAGTCCTAGAGTCGAGACGATCCTCGAGTTGTGAAATTCGGCCTCCAAGTTGGTGTATGTTGAAGTGTAAATAGAACTCGCACATGTGCTTTGCAGGTGTGGAGTGTTAGCGGTGACACAGACTCCTAGGGGTTCTAGTGACCATAGATCTTACATGCAGAGCGCCATTTGTGAAACCACCATGGTGATTAACCACTTTCTCATCTTACTGTAGCTTCTTGGACATAGCGGGTCGTTATCGCCATCATCCCAATCTACCAGAAATTGCCCTTCGGCGCGTGTCATAGTCTTGGCGCAAGGTAACGAACCAGGGCCCTCCAAACACTTCGTGCAGGAACTGTACCTAGAGTTCACGACGGCTTCCGTAAACTTCCCAGCGGCTTGACCGTGATAGTGCGCGGTTTACTGAGTTGCAACGCGGCAGTGTGCAGCAATCTTGTCAAGATGTGAGCTCGCAGCTACTCGATCATTATTCCGTTACTCCGGGCATATTTCCGCCAGTTACATTATCGAATTACTAAGCTACCTCATGTATGTCACCCTAGGTCGATGTCGATTCTCATACGCAATGGCCGGCAACGGAGGCACTAAAGCGGAGACGGAGATGGAGGTAACACCGGGAATTGCGACGGAGATGCAACGGAACTCCAACCAGACCTTGGACCAGCGATTTGATGGATTGCGAAAAGTGCTATAAAAGTACTCTTGACCAAAGGCGTAGAAATTGGAAGAAATCAAGTGATAAGGACGATGTCACTAGCAACATAAATCTCATAGTTTATTACTAGTCTCAACGGCAACTTTTCATAAGCGCTTTTTCCTCGACAAGAAGTCTTTCGTCTATGAAGCTCTTCGAGCTGCGAGCTACACTCGCTGTGGTGGGGCAGAGCCAGCCGAAGCCATCTCAGTGTGCTCTCGCATTCCCTCCGGCGACGAAGAAATCTGGTTAGAGAATGGCAATTGGTTGCAGACCGCGCCGTCCAAGCCGCGAAAGCGAGCTTGACGAAGAACGATCGACGTGGTGCGCAGCATGCCTTTGAACGCGCTTCAGATCATTACCGCACGGCCGAATTCTACCGGCGCGACAACGTTTTCGAAGACGAACTAATATCCAAGAATCTCATCGATTTAAGTACCAAGATATTTTACTCTGCAGCCGACATCATGCCATAGAAGACCATAAGGATACAAATACTCTTTGAGGGGACTATTCTTCCGGGACCGATGATGCAGCCTGGCAAAAGCCACAAACCGAGGCCCGCGATCATCTCTAATTGTGGCTTCTAGTCCACCAGGGAAGAGATATCCTACATGATTGGCCAGGCGGCACTTGAAGAAGGCTTCAATATTGCCCTTTTCGATGGCTCTTTATTTATTTTCTGGCTATATAGCACACGGCTACCCGTATAACTACCTTACCCAAGCAGGGGAATTGGAATAAAACAGAATGGTCCGAAGCTGCACGCGCGGAGAACTTGACATTTAGACTGAGGTAAAATTTATACCACCCTTCTCAGCCCATACTTGGTCTCAAAACTGGCATTCGGAAAAGTCCAGTTGTGTAACAAATGTTCCATTCTCAATTCGTAGCCTTTGGTGCAAACCCTCACTGAATCCCGACCACTTTTGTTGCATTGTCGCAGGGTTGCCTTCCGCGGCCATCGCAGTCCAGGCCTCAATGATGGTCTGGCTGATCTTGCGTTCGGCTGAAGTAGCCTGACAAGTTCCATTGCCGAACGGCTGATTCTTCATATTTCCAAACACAAATGGAAGCTCCGCGGTGTGGGTAGAATCGAAAAATGGTGCCAGTTCTGACGTAGGGAAGGATTCGTCATCAATCGAAATCCATGGACAAGAAGGCGTATGGCTGAAGCGGTATGCAAAAGCAGGCGTACCAGCATTTGTCGTCGCCCTCAGGGTTCTGTAAGACGGACACTCAAAGCTAGCCTGTGCGATGTTGTAGGATATGGCCTCAACTACGGCTGCAGATGTTGACCCGGTGCTGTTAGTATTTGCAAGCGGATAGGCCTTGCCTATAGGCACTCCGACGTCCCCCCACTGAGAGAGGAAATCAGTGTGATTAGCTTCTGTAACAGGTGTTTCGACACACTCGAAGATAGGAAGGACTAATAAGGTTGCGTCATCGTAACCTGTGGACTTGTTAGTAGAGTACCGAGCCTTATCACCAAACAAGCCATTGACATACTTTAGCCTGCAATGACTGGTACTTTGAGCCAGTCTTCAAAGGCTCCTCTGTGAACAACTCGCCATCCTAGATTACAGAACTCAAGAAAGTGATATTTGGTAAGTTGACTCCCAGAACCGTACCAAGCTCGGCGCCATTGAGACGGCTGTCAAGAAGAGCATGAGTGTTCAGGAACGCGTCCTGGAGCTCTTTGACGGACTTGCCTTGCATACAAGGGAGCTAGAAACTCGTCAGCCAGAGTGTCAAACGTTCAAGCCCGACTCAAAGGCTAAAGTCATCTGCACTTACGTCTGTTTCGCTGCAGCCCAAAGCCGCCGCAAAGCTGGATCCGGCAAGTTGGGCTGTCTCGTACGGCGTCAAGTCTTGCTCGCCTCCCGATTCTAGAATAACGGATGATACGAGACCCCTGGCCTGCAGTAGCGTAGAGAATGCGAAGATGTCGTCTGCCCCGGCACTCTGTCCAAAAAGCACCATCTTATCATTACTTCCTCCAAAGGCAGCGATGTTTCCTTTGACCCAGTTGAGCGCTGCAATGTAATCGTGTACGGCCATGTTGCCCTCGACGCCGGCGCTATCAAGGCTAAGGAATCCCAAGGGCCCGAGCCGATAGTTGAAGCTGACCACCACGGCCTCTGTTGCAAGGTTGCACCCATCGTAAAGCGGATGATTTCTAGACAAATGAGAACTGCGTGACGTTTTCTGTACCCATTCCTTTCTCATTTCCCCTTACCTACCCTGGCATCCAGGCTGTCAAGATGACTGGAAAGCAAGTTGGGATTACCTGTCCATTGGCTCCCATAGGCCCAGATCTGAATACCTTGGGACAGCTTGACGCCATGATACCTTAACAGGATGATTCATCCATTGTATGAGCGTATTGTCAACATGATCTCCCACTCATCCCTAACTTCTCGCCGTACTATCTGATACCGAGGTCTCCTTATCACCCTTTTCATCATGACCTCCACCTATACCAACATCACCACCACAATTTGTAACGGATTAAGCTATTTCTTTCGGTGAATTCTGCAAGTCATATAATCAAAGCATCTCAGTGGGATAGCGCCAAGGACTGGTTTACTTGTGAGGATAGCAGCCGTCATGGGAATATATGGTTAATTACTTTATGTGTGCATTGGACGGTGTGCTATGTGCCACCCATAACATAGGGCCAACACGTCTTCGCGATGCAGAACACTAAGCTACTCCTGAAGCCTAATATCATGAGGCTTATCACTACTGCTCCAGTGTGAACAACATCTCTGAAGGGGGGCCGTCCGTCACAGAGATTCCGGCGATTCCCTTGCCAGCCGCCTTGGCCACTTCTGAAGCCACCACTCCGTAAGGACTAGCCATCAAGGTGTTCCAGCCCTTCGTCTCACCGAGGTCATTAGTCGTAGTGAAACCTCCGGTACTCTCTCCAAGCTCTGTGCGTGCGTTGCTAATCGCGGTTTGGGTCGCCGGGTCGACGATCTCGGAGAACTTGATCGAGGTAACCTCGTTGATATCCAATGTTGTGGCTGACCAAAGCTGTGTAATGACCGAGGTAAGACTGAGGCCGAGGGGAAACTGGCTTGCCCACGCTTCATTGGCAACAATTCTGTATCCGTAAATATCGCACAGGACCTTCACGATAGCTTGTTCACCGTTTGTAAAGCCATCAGTGTAGATCGCCTTCCAACGTCCAAGATCCTTCACGGAGTAGTCTGAGCCGCCAGTTGCGCTGCCCTCCTTTGCCTTGAAGGTGAGCTCATATCTGGTAGATTCATCTGCTGTAGCAGAATTGTGGAATGCCTGGCGCATATCTGCCTTCTTTGCCGGCTTTCCCGGAGGCTTCAACAGCTCCGCGCGCGTATCGTCGACTGTGAAGCCCTTTGGTGGTCTAGGCCGGGGTTCGGTCGGCTCGATTGTTTCAGTAACATTGCCCTTGTACCAGTATACTGCTCCGCCGTTGCTGAGTCCGAGAGGAATCAACGAGTTGATATCGATAATAAGACCTCCTTCTTCCTTTGACTCTCGCAGCACGCAGTCTGCGATAGACTTGTCCGACCGTGAATCATATCCACCACGAGGGAGGATGTAGCCGACCTGTTCGAAGTTGCCGTTGGCTGGAATCATCCAGATGTTGTCTTCTTTGTCGTAGCCAACAACACCACAACGGATACGGTTACCAGTGGCCTTTTGGAGGACTTGAAGAAAGGTTAGCTCCAGAAAACAGCTGTGGAGTTCGGCCTCGGTGGTGCGCTGGTGTCAAGACTTACCAGAGCCATCTTTATCGCCACCGTCGACTACATCGGCGGGTAAATACCAGGGATCAACCGTTCCCATCGGTTTCCAGACAGTTTCGCTTTCATCTCCAGGGAGAAGACCATCGGTTTGCGCCTTGACAGCAAGCAGGCTGAATGCGCCCCAAAGGGCTAACTTCTGAACGTTGATCATGGAGTACTGCATGCTGGTCTGGGTTCAATGTCCAAGAGCAAGTCTTTGAAGTCTCACTCAGATGATGCAGGCTAATGATGCTCGGGGACTCAAGAGTATTCGTATATAATTGTTCCCCGACCACATCCGTGCATGTTCTCGGTCAGCTTAAGCCCTCATTTACCAGCAAACAATAAGAATGGGTTTAGGGCCACTATGGCGTAACCTTCTTTGAGTGCTTTCATACTTCGTCACTTTGGTTTTTTGACATCACTGTAATTGGGTTTGCCCAGGAATAAAAGGCAACTCTCAGGCCTCCGTTATAGCAAGTCAGTCGCCATGCTGTGAGAAGTTTGGTTGAAATTGCCTATGGGCCTCATAATGAAGGTATGTTTTAGTCCCTTGGTCGCCTCACTCTGTTTTCCCTCGCCAAGCATGCCGTTCGTGCTATTCGCTGACTGGGCGCTCTGAGTAAGTTTGCTGAAATAGTCTCCGGTTCGGATATAGCCGCCAATTTGGGTTTTAGCGATTAATTCAACTACGCTCCACTCCTGGTGCGGCTCCCCCGGGTATTAAAGAGCCGCTAAATGTCTGATTCTGCCTTAAGATGCGCTGCTCCCAACTTCCCAACTACCACCTGAAGCCAGAGTAGAGTTTGCACTGCTTCCGAGGTGCCGAAAAAGTATGACTCGGGCGCGTTTCTGGTGAAGCCTTTCACGACTTCATCAACTTTGGTCACAGCAACCCAGAACCATCACTTGACCTTTTGCTAAGGACTCATGATTTATGCATGTTTGGTTGGCTTACTTATTGCCTTCATCCTACGTGAACAACGCATGAGGACTGTCGAAACAATCGTCCCAGGTGTTTCCTGCAGAGGCATAAAATCTCTCTAGGACCTCTTTAGCTGCGACTGGGAGATAGATTCCCATCCTCTGACTGTCTTCCTTCATACGCCCCAGAACGAAGCTCCGCATGGGCAGGTTCCCACTCTTCGCCTCGAACCCGGCTACAATCATTGGCCATGTGGTGCAGATCTTCAATGCTGGAGAGGCAAGCGAGGCTCTGAGAAAAGAGAACAGCCTGTCACGATGTGTTTCCTTGACCGTCATCCAATCCTTCGAGAAAGGAATGACCTTCACACTTTGAAGAGAGGAAACACCAAACAGTGCCACGGCTGACCGATAGGTCTTGGCCATTAAGAGGTGTCCATCTGCTAAAGGCTCCGTGCTACTAGACCAGACTTCGGGCGAATAGTCTAGAATCTTATCTAGGAGACGCTCTGCTTCAATCCTGATCGAGGTGAGAGGTCCTCCAGGTTGAATGCACGTTGCTTGGAAGCGAAGGCGGTTGATGTGAATGATGTCGATGAGTAAGTCGACTGGACATGGAAGCTGGGGATAATATCCAATCGAGAATACGTCCCTCACTACATTCCGTATCTTGAAGTTTGCGACTGGCGACACTTGGTCGTGGGCGGGGCTAGTTGTATTGGCGAGATTCTCGATGCTAGACGACGGGCTGGAGTTAGTAGCAGGTGACGTATGCCGTGATTACCACGCCGAAGCAAGGCTAGTCTCTCCTAAACCCTGTGGCCTTAAAGCCATATTGCACAAGAGACACTCACACTTTACAGAATAACACGAGGGACTTGAGATGCGGCGACTTTTGACAGAACACATCCCAACCACCACGCATAGCAATCAACGCAGCAAACCCATTCAAGTGGACACGCCAGTTAGGCTCTGTTGCACTCCCCATAAGCTACATGCCGTCAGTGTCAGGTTGCGCATGGGTGTGACAACATTTTCTCTCTTACATCACCGAAAAGGAAGACGATTACGCCAGCCAGAGTTGCGTCAGAGCATCGCGTACTCTCGTTTTCGATCTCCTTATTTAAAGCCTGGATCGCTGTAAGACGATGTTGATAGGCCCTAGCCCTGACCTCAATTGCGTAAGCGTCATTCCTTGCAGGCGAAAGGCGTGACATCCGGTGCTCGATTGCCATAGTGACTAGGCCATGTCGTCGGTATGCTTTCATACCGTGGATGTGGGAAATTGGTACAACCCACGGGCTCTTAGTGAGCTGGTTCTCGTAGAAGTATGGGTAAACCTGTTCGTTCCCTATGGATAAAGTACCGAGGTGTTTGTCAGCCCATATCTTTCGGCATGCTCAGGTAGATCCATCGGGATAAAACGGTTCAGGAGCACTGTTTGGAAGTCTGACTAACAGTAAACCGAGGCCTCAGCAATGTCGCATGTTTCCGTCCGGAGCTCTTGTCCGGGGAATACATGGATGAGCTGTACCCGGCGAACTTCTTCTTCTGGAATTTTCGGTACCGCCTTTTTCTTGCCGCTACCCTTCGAACCCTTCTTGGCGATGTCTATCCTGTCAGTTTTCGGTTTTCGTCCGCCCCTCCATGTCCGCGTCGTGACCTGATTAGGGGCCACCCAGGTCAAAGGCTTCACGTTCTCATACCCAGGGCACACTATGCCGCTTAGCTTACACCTGGAGCATACGGGACGTTTCGAATCGCAGACCAAACCCCGGCGCTGGCATTCCCAGCAAAATCGCCTGGTGCTGCCGCTGCCGGCGCTATTGTCGTCAGGGCTCTCTGACGCACCAGTAGAGGGGCGCGGCTCTGGTGATGGCGCCATCGATCTGACTGGGAAGCGGGAAATTGAGGGGAAAGACTTGTACGTTTTAGGTTATTGGAGGTATTGATAGGAGTCGCCCGTATATATTGGCGGCCCGGGGTCATTTCGTAATACGTGTGCCTCCTGAGGGCGGGAGAGCTACCCGCGCAGAAGAGGGGACGTTCCGCGGACGCCGGTGACTGGCGATGCGAGACACTCGGTGGATACTTGCAGCTCTTGGCTCGCTCCTTCTGCGGATCGGATAAGGCCTCACGAAAACCGTGTCTTTCCAGCATGATCTTGGGGCTGGTTGCAAGCCTGCAAGGGACAGTCGATTGTACTGTCAGAACTAGAGCCGGAAGAGGCAATTCCAACTTCGTGGCAGTACAGAGCAATATTGGGCTTTTCACTTGCCTTGTAAGACTGTGAATACGTATCTAGCCAGACTGTTCCGTGGACCAGGGTTATTGTGATGCATGTTGGTCGCTTTCCTAGCTTTAGTGATAGTCCTAATAGGGCCTGCAGCATTGGATGTGTAACATGATGACGCAAGCCTGGTTCTGTCAAAGCATTTGTCGTAAAACCTGTTCCGAAGTGTAAGTAGTCAGGAAACACTCGGCGTTTTCGGTTAGACCTGCTTCACAAGTGTGCATGGAGTTTTCAACTTTTATTGAAATACCGGGGCTTACATCAGTTCTTGGAAGACCAATTGGCAGTGAGACCAGCAAGATAGTAATAGCGCACAAGACGACGAAGATGCAAAAAGTCTGGTAGGACAAAATGATTTCATTGCATTTAGACTCGGGGAAAGTATATCCGGGCCAGGCACATAAGGTAGTACAGATCAATAGATACTACTCTCCTTCCTTCTCGAATCACGCATTGTATTGATTTGACTAAGTGCAAGAAGAACACATGCATGGAAGTCAACATCGACCGAACAAACTCGAACACAGAACTTCGAGGATAGAAGAATAGTCTTCTCAGGGCATGTAAATTCGATTGGACCCGGTACCTTAGGATCTCAAAAGACAGTTGAGAGTACTTTCGTAGATTCAAGCAGATAATTGCTACAGACCGCCGAACTCTCTTTACAGGACATGGAAGTTCAGCCCATGAGATCAGCACATTGTTATCTGAGACCGATGCTGCAAAGGCAAAAGCAGATGGATCTACTTCCCCATCAAACTCAGTAGAGGTGTAAGGCGTTCGATCGTAGAGACCAGAGAATGGCTAGAACGCAGTCTTTACAGGAGTCAGCCATGTGCAGAGATTTGGCCGGCCCTTTGCACACAGCCGCGCGCGAAAGGACAGATGGTCTCCCCTGCCAAGGATCGGCGAAATCAGAATTGGCAAGTTGGATCCGTGTAGATCGTCCCCAAAAGCGTCGCGTCTCCGGGGCATGACACATGTCAGGCTTGCCAGCCCACATCAGACCCTTTGCAGACGGACAGAGTCTCCGACCTACAGTCTCGGCATTGATAAGATTTTTATGTACTGTGACTAGCACATCTTAGAGGGTGAAGAGATCATACTTCTTCATCTGTGCTCAAAGCTGCTCCTCGTTCATATGATGACATTGAGGCTTGTAAGGTTACATGGCCATCGAAGAGAAATCACGAAGTAGGATTTTTCCTCTCAGGGAGATATCTGCTGTGGCCTGTTGTCAACTAGACTAACACCTGTTGCAAGGAATACTGTAGACACAGCTTTCTTGGCCATCGGCGGTGATTCTAAACTCGGTCTTGTCTCTTGAAGTTTCTTGAGGCTGTGCAACATTTCGGGCACGGATATCAGCCCATCTATGTATTTGATACACTTCACAATGGCCGCCAAATAATGGAGACGCTGTGCAGGAATTGGTCGTTGAATGGCATACGAGAGAAATAGAAAAGAATACAACACAAAAGCTGAAGCGTGAGTTCTGGGCTTAGCTTATATTTGGGATGGTATGTACAAAACTTATGGTAGAGCATGTTGTGGTGTTTTGCGGCATCAGTTTGAGGACATAGAAAGGAGATACAAGCCGGAAACCCCACTGCTCTAGGTATGAGAACAGCGAGTACTGGCATTATGTGTCGACTGGCCAAAGAGTATGTGGGTAAAGATTTGCCCGCCCCTTACAACTGTACGCGGAAGAGCTCCGACGAGGTCCTTGTCTGTCAAGGTTAAGCATGCCATCGCGGGGGTGGGTACACACCTATTTACAGTTTAGCATCCGGCTAGGGTTCGTTTAAGGTGTCAGCCATCTGCATCTATCTCCACTATGCTGGTAAACTCCGGCTCTACTCTTTTGCGATCTTCGAGAGACGACGTAATCGCTCTCCTGTAATCTCGCCATTCCCTCAAGGACTTTCGGACAGTTGACTAATCCGCCCGGTTTACATGACAGCCCTCTTCAGGTGGCAAGACAATGTGACAGGTCATTTGTCATTATGTAAAACGGCTTAAGCTTAAAGAAAGTGCCGTCTTTTTTCTCGTTTGCACGATTCATGCCTTCGAGTTGAAATTCCTAACGCCAGAATTTTGAACGAAGTAAACTTCGGGTACGGAGGGGACTAGCTCGTAGGAAACTGCCTTGTAGCAAAATGACTCTCAGCCTAAAGTATCCAGCTGCGAGACTCGCATGGTAGTTCGACCGGGCCCACCGTCCTGTCCACCGTTGCACAACGAGGCGGTAATCGAGTCCGCTGTGCCGCGTTCCGAGACGGAAGCATATTGGCCCCGGGGTACTGAAGATCTCTGAAGATCTGACTGCCTATCCCGGTAGCCCTATAGCAGAAAACGTCCTACCCGGTATGCTTACGTGAACTACTGCGGTGTCGTCGTTGTCGTCGTCGCGCAATGATGTGATGGATACTTGATAGCAAGAAGTGGGCTGTCCAGTAAATTGCCAGGGCTGTTCCACCGAGCAGTTGGCGCCACCTCAGGGGCAATGATGATGGTAGAGCGTAGTCAAGGGGGGTCCCCATGCTATAGACAAGAGTTGGAGGCTGTGTGTTTCGTTGAAAGTACCGCCTCCCTCTCCACGAAAGGCAGGTCGACGCTACACCGAACGAAGATCAGATGATGGTATTGCCCAGTACCTACGGTTGTAGTCTAAAGCTTGAACTTTAGTCTACCAGCAGCTTGTCAAAGGGGCAGGAGCATGCGACTTTGTGAAATACCTAGGTAGATACAGGCAAGGTCTGGGCCCTTTGGGCCCGAATTAGGTCCGGCTGTTGCACCCAAGCGCGTTTCTATTCACCACTCATATGCGTTGGGTGCCATTAATTAGACTGTTTGATGCGGGGTGCAGAACGGGACTGCATGAGGTACAGTACTTTACTCGGCTTTTTGACCTAAATTGTAGGATCCTTGAATAGCATCGATATCGACAGACTGTTCAGTCGTCTACATGTCGGTGTTCCCGCTGCCCTAGCTATGACCCAGATTTAGGAAGTATTCTGGAGAGGGCATGAATCGTTCAAGTCTGAATTACGCGTCCTTACTCAACTTATAGAATAGTAGTGTCTTGAGGCGTACAAAAGGAACGCCGCTTCGCATCCTTCACATGATCTTCTTTTTTGGACCACCCAACATTCTTTACACTCACTCAGTCTTTCATTCACAAAAGCTTGTCTCTCATTATGTTACCGCTTATGCTTCTTGGCGCCCTGGCGCCAAGTGTTCAAGCCGTTGCCCTGGCCAAGGGTAACACGACCTTTGAGCAACAGTGCGCCTCTTTTGCAACTTCTCTGCGTATCAACGGAGCCAACTCCACCGCCTCCGAGTACGTCCCAGCAGGAACCACCCTGCAGTTCCCGAACGCGGATCCCACTTGTGGCCGTCCCTCTCAGAATGTCACGGCCAACATCTGCCGTGTCACCGCGCGCATCGCTACCTCGCCTCGCTCTGGTCTCAAGTTCGAAGCTTGGCTGCCCGAGAACTGGACCGGCCGCTTCCTCAGCACCGGCAACGGCGGCCTCGGTGGTTGCGTTCAGTACGAGGATCTTGATTATGCCTCCTCCCTTGGCTTCGCTTCCGTGGCCACTAACAACGGTCACGATGGTCAGACCGGACTCCCGTTCCTGAACAACGAGGATGTAATCGAGGACTTCGTGTATCGTGCCCTGACGACTGGTGTCGTTGTCGGCAAGGACGTCACCAAGTCGTTCTACAACAAGCCCCATACCAAGAGCTACTATCTCGGCTGTTCTACTGGAGGCCGTCAGGGCTTCAAGCAGGCTCAGGCTTTCCCCGAGAACTTTGACGGCATCGTCGCCGGAGCCCCGGCATTTTCCTTCAACAACCTTACTTCCTGGAGTTGCCACTTCCTTCCCCTCACCGGCCAGCAGGGCGCTGACACCTTCATCCCCATGACCATGTGGCCGACCATCCACGATGATATCCTGGCCCAGTGCGACGAGCTGGACGGCGTCAAGGACGGCTTCCTCGAGTCCCCCGACCTCTGCGACTACAAGCCCGAAAGCCTCCTCTGCGGCGTCAACAGCAACCAGACAGACTCCTGCCTCACCCAGAAGCAGGTTGAGACCCTCCGCGGCATCTACGCGCCCCTGATCGACGCCTCCGGCGACCTCGTCTACCCGCGCATGCAGCCCGGCGCCGAGCTCAGCGGCGCACCGCAAACCTACTTCAACGGGCAGCCCTTTGGCGCCTCTGACTGGTTCAAGTACGCGATCCTCAACGATTCGACCTGGGACCCGGCCACGATCACCCCCGAGGACTACGTGCGCTCATCCAGCCTGAACCTCTTCAACGTCGAGACCTGGGACGGCGACCTGTCCCCCTTCCAGAACCGCGGCGGAAAGCTGCTTCACTACCACGGCCTCATCGACGGTACGATCTCCAGCGACAACTCGCCCAGGTACTACGAGCACGTTTCTCAGACGATGGGTCTGGCCCCGGCCGAGCTGGATGAGTTTTACCGTCTGTTCCGCATTTCCGGCCTTGCGCACTGCAGCGGTGGCACCGGAGCCGCGTTCATCGGTAACCAGGCCAGGAACACGGCGAGCCTTGACCCCGAGGAGAACGTCCTCATGGCCATGGTTCGCTGGGTCGAGGAGGGTATTGCTCCTGAGACTGTTACCGGTACCGCTTTCGTGAACAACACTGTAAGTGCCGGCGTCGACTACAAGCGTCGCCACTGCCGCTGGCCGACACGTAATGTCTTCAAGGGAACTGGGGACTACAAGGACGAGAACAACTGGGAGTGTGTGCCGATCTAACCAAGAGGTTCTCGTGGTGACAGGAACTGATTTAGCAAGTCAGCTTGTCGATACATGTATTTACAAGGTGGCAGTTCCGTATTTTTGTGCGGACAACTAAAATATTACCTACGTACATGATGTTCTTGCAACTCCCTAGAGCTTTTCTATCGTAGAAAGCGAACTCGATAACTTCGGGAAGCAAATGACGCGGTGATACCCTGTGACACTTCAATAGGATGCAAATTCTTTCAGATGAGTTCAAATTCGACACGGTCTGTAAGCAAGAAGTGCAGTCATGAATATTCATAATTATTAGTACTAGGTGTATAATCATTCCGACGTTAATCCAAACGGTCCTTACTTCTAGACCTTTGGCTAGCCTCCTGAGAAGGGGCTAATGACTGGGAGCCGACTTCGACAACGCTCATGTCCGACCGAACGTTGAAGGTCCGGCCTCTCCAGTTCACCGTAGAGCCGCAAAAAACAGCCCAGACCCAAATTGGAAGAGCCAAAAACTCTCTTCCGAGCCACGCGGGCAGCCATTCCAAGAAGGACCTTGGAGGTGCTCCACCAGGTGTCGCAGTGCCCCTAGCAAACTTTGGCGTGTTCTTGTCCACTTCAACAGTGTACCCAGCATGAAGGCGGTTGTATGTGAACCAATCGCACGCCATCCAGATAGTTGTGAAAGCCGTCCAGTAGAGGCCAAAGGCACCCCAAGTCTGCGATGTTCCAAAGGTGTTGTGGAACCAGGGGAGAGTGGTAACAGCGAAAGCAAAGTAGCCGCAGCAGGTCAGACTCTCAACACCAGGCTCGACCAAAGTGGCGGCGAGAACAGTCCACTTTCGCGCACGAAGCCATCGAGCGCGACGGGCAAAGTATGCATGTACAGACATGCCGGCCATTGGTTGAACTGCAAGGTCGCCCATAACGAGTCCGTGGTTCTTCATGCCAGGCAGACTCGACTTCCACAATAGATCGCCAATCAGGTGATCCTCGCAGATGTACTCGGAGAAGTAGTTGATGCCCTTGGGTAAGTTCTTGTTGGATAAGATCGGGTTTTGGGCTGGGTCCGTTACGGTGTCCAGGTGCGATTTGCGAAACATGTTGCTCTTGCCAACGGCACAAGGGGCGACGCCAACGGTGTTGATCGCGCTGTAAAATTTGGCATGACTTGTGGCCATGAACATCTCGTCGAGTCGGCCTCCGCCTTGGGTCTTCGCATACTCGAGGAACGAAATGCTTTGGCCTTTGCCGGTGATGTGTTGCGAGGAGCTAGAGTCGGAAGTCGAAGATAGGAGCGTTTGCGTCTCAGCTGAAAAGTCCTTTCGAGACACCGTATCGACGACGATTGGCAGAAGGTGTACAAACTTGTACGGCTTGACTTGTTTACCGCCCGGCCCGTATCCCAACAGCTTGTCAACCATCCGACCAGCGACGCCCTTGGCAACCCAGATGTTGCAGTCCATGACCCAGATGATGTCTCCTTTGGCTTCTCGATATGCGCGACTGATGTTTCTGATCTTTGGGTTGGGGCCTAGGTTGTCGATGTGGCCGTCAGTGCCATGCAGAAGCGGATCTTCCTCCTCAACCAAGACTCGAGCGTCAAAACCTGGGAAATCCTGTACTAGCTTCACTAAGACGGGGTATGCCGGATCGCTCTTCTCGGCCACGCAGAGGTGGATCGTCAGCTTGTCGCGCGGGTAGTCTTGTCTGAAAGAGGACGCTATGCATTCATAGAGGCCATGCTCGAGACCCTTGACAGGACGGATGATGGTGATGTGCGGTACATCTTCTTTGCTCAGAGAGGGGGAGACGGCGGGTCGCAGGCGAGATGAGTACGAGAGGAAGCTGAAGAGGGTCAGTGGATGGTCCGCATCATTTAGAACTACACTCACATTCTGACGATACCAATGGATTGCACTGCATAGACAAATGTGCTCCATCCAGCGCAAACAATCGCAATAGCTTGCGCCACGGATGACCAATCTGCCATTATGGGATCGAGGCGGTTTTGCGCTGCGCGATGCGCGGAAAGGAGGTTTTGGGATTAAGGATAGCTGGTGCGCCCGAGCACCATGAGAGGGAGGAAACCGCGGCGGCAAAAAGGAAAAGAAAATTCGTCACGAAATCGCCGACAACATGGCAAATGTCAGACTCCCGAATCCTACCCAGAAGCGAGGAAATTGGAAATTGGCCGTAAGCGCAGCGGAGACGGGGCCGATAACCTTACAAAAGTCGGTAGGACCGGAGACTGGGAGTCGCGTGGCATGGGATTTCGACGCGCCCCACCAAGCTCGAAGCTTGAAATTGTGAGCACCAGCCACATATTGTACCTTGGGACTCGGGAGTAGTAGCTGTGGCGGGAGCTTCGGTGAGGCCTGAGGCTCGAGCCTGGCAGGATTAGGTAAGATTCATCATGTATCTATTGGCTGTCCCCACCCGAGTTATTCCGGCCGGAGGTGAGAGCCGGGCCTGGGCACGGACTAGTGGGTGCAAACGAACCTTGAAAGAGTCAGACGGCGGGGGCTTTGACGGAAGCGAGCGATGGATACGGCGGAGACCTTTTTCTACGCTGAAATTTTCTGCGAGCAACACCGTTTCCTTCCTTCACCATCCACACACGTCTGCCGAACAGGATCGAGCTGCCTCGAAAAAGTGAGGTGATTTTCGGCTTGCATGGCCCAATTGACGGGTGATCTGTCGGCTGGACGGGTGGAAAATTCCTCAATCAAGTAAGTTACTACATAGCTCTCTCAATCTCCTCTTCCCTTGGTCCTGAGGTGGTTGCCGCGGCTGGCCAACACTTATTCGGTCGCGCGATGACTCTTTCGCGCGGTTGAAAAGAGCTGGCTTCGCTGCTCTTCCACCTCGATGTTTGCTATGATGACACCTATTACCCATTGTGCGAAGAGTGCGTCTTCATTGAACCTCTGTGCCGCGAAACAATATAGACTACAACGGTATCTGATGCAAATTTTGGACACATTTCTTGCTGTTCTTCGAGCACTGAGCCTTGGACAATAAGCTAACCAGTGCCCCAAAGACAGACATGATTTGCTAGCATACAATGTCGCAAACTAAAATTACGGCTTCACAGCCGGCGCAGGCTACGATGCCTGCCCAGAGCTCCTCGAAGTCTCCGACGACGTCGCGGCCGCGAGGCCCCCCGTTGCACAAGATTTACGAGTTGCCTGCTCCCATACGGACATTTCCGCTTCCTAGCTTTTATCCGAATAATCCAATTTCTCTTTTCCATGTCCTTTTCGCATGGACGAAACAAGCCTTGTTCCCACCGCCTGCTGAACCGTCCATTGTGCACGAGGGTATCTGGTCCCCAGAATCCAAATCTGTCAACATCATCGACGAAAAGTCCATGCGCGCGCTGTGGGAACAAGGGTTCTACGGCAAGGGCAACTTGAGTCGAAGTGAGCCCAACTGGTTGAAGCGCGAGCATGTCAGGCGAGGACTGGTGCCAGGCCAGGTCAGCGAGCTGGTAACAGCCAACAGACGTGAAGAGCGAAGGCAGATGAAGTGGGAGAGAGCCAAGACAGAGCAAGAAGCCATCAGACAATTACGAATCCAGGAAGCCCAGTTGGCGACTCAGGTGTCAGGAGATGGCGTAGTCAGCTCTGCTACCCTGGCCACCGAGGCTGACGCCATTCTTGATGCAACGAACAATGATGATCCTGAGCGAGAAGCCTCGACAGACGCGGATACCCTGCCTGAGCCACTTGTTCCCCTTAAATCAGCGCTTGCCGCCAAGTCCAACCACCTCCAAGCAAACGGCGTCGATACGATAACAGTGGCGCCTGTCGCCGAGCCCGAGGCCATCGGCCAAATATCTGCCGAACCCTCGACCTTTCAAGGGCCATCTACAGCTATCGAGCCGGCCAAGATTGTCAAGCCCAGTGACTTCCTTCATTCGGTCCAAGATTCTGAGGCTGTCGACGAATCCGAAAAGGCTCTGCCGGTGGATGAAGTGCCCTTTACACCACTTCCTATCGCATGGAATGCTCCCGTTGGCCCATTGCAACTGCTGTGCCTTCCCAACTCGCATATTCTGTCTGCGACAGCAAACTCAGATGAGATTGATAGGTTGAATGGTGGTGCTCGGCAAGTCAATGCCCTCCACGAGCCTACGACATTACAGGAAGTTGGCTTGGATTCCTTCGAGCTCCAAGCCAAGGAACCTCTCGTCAACGGCATCTCAACTATATCAGGGATTGCGTCGCCGGTTGGACCCTTGGAGCTTCTATCTCTTCCCAACGCCGAGCCTGTCACCAATGGGACGATGAATGGCGACCACGTCACGGTGACGAACATTAACGAGAGCCCCCTTGCCGACACTACTCCCTCCGAAACACCTAAGCTCTCGACGATTCACGAAGATGTGGGCGTGAACGGTCACCTGATCAATGACTTGATAACGAATACCAATGGCGACAAGTTGCTTCATCAAAACGGGTTGAATGGGGTGGCAAAATCTGCTGTCAGCTCTAGCGAGATTCCATCGACACCAAAGTCGGCCAAACGCCGCAAGAGCGTTCGTTTCTCGCCCAAGGTCGAGTCGGCCACATATCAGCTGTCCGATCCGCCTAGCCCTAGCCTCGCTCTCTTCAACGGAACCAACGGAAAAGCGACACCGCCTGTCAATGGCACGCCATTGGGCCCTAGCGTCTTGGAGGCAAATGCCGACGGTGCAACTGCATCGGATGATGTCAAGAAAAGTGAGAAGCTAGACGATGTCCCTGCGGAGCCAGTCGAGGTCGTGAACAAGGAACATCTCCAGCTCACATCCGAGGAAGCTTTCTTCCTGGCTTTCGGCATGGGCGCTCTACGAGTTGTCGACCCTGTCAACAAGGCTCCGATCCCAACTCCCGAGCTGTTCGATCTCTTTAGACAATATTCCTACTTCCCCCGTCGCCCTACAGAGGAGCTCCAGCCGGACGATGGCTTCTTGGTGAATTACGCCGTGTATCATCACTTCCGGTCCTTGGGATGGGTTCCCAGAGCAGGTATCAAGTTCGGTGTCGACTGGATGCTGTACGCCAAAGGACCTGTGTTTGATCACGCAGAATTCGGCGCTATCCTCCTGCCATCCTATTCCCACCAATGGTGGAAGGACAGTGACCGCAAGATCCCGCGCAAGACCTGGCACTGGCTTCACGGGGTCGTCCGTGTCCTCTCTCACGTCCAAAAGAGCTTGGTCCTGGTCTACGTCGACATTCCGCCGCCTCCCCAACTAGAAGAGGCGATGAAGAAGGGACCGGCCGAGGTCTTTAAGTTGTACAAGATTCGCGAAGTTATGGTTAAGCGGTGGTCAAGCAACCGAAACAGATGATTTCTCGCATTTCATTTTCACGATCCGGGCGGGCGTTGGAAAGGGCATGGAAAAGTTTGGAGGCGAATGATACAAGCCTGGTCTTGGGCATGGTCTGGCGGTGCTGACCATGCATGGGGATCCATGGTTTATACGAGTATTGGGGAGTGTCTATGCTGGCATAAGCATTGAACACATTGTATGAATAAAACGGAAGACTCGGACTACGGCATATTCGGCGACAGCATGCCATTGCCTTTCTTGCTACCATAGAATACCCCACCATGAATGTAAGATGATGATGAGGCAATCTATCCTGTCAATTCACAATCGTCTCGGTTCACTAGTGTGCAGATTTACCTGGCGTTTGCAGTTTTCTCCTTTTCCCCACGAGTCACGTCCTCGGCCTCCCGCGGGTTAACCGGGGGTGCTCTCGCCGCTCCCCGGCCCCGGAGTCAACGTCTGTTCTCGGGTTGTCCAAGACTTTACCAAGCATACCCAAGCCAATTCTTTCCTCCCCTTCATCACAGAGGCCCCCTTCACAAGTTGACACCGCACCGTGACCACACAAGCTTTGCACAATGGCACCAAGCGGCCAAGACTCGGGTCCTCGTGTCCTATTCGGACGAACTGCGACGGTCAATTTTATTCCAGGGACCGAGCCAACCCCACACCGCGCAGATGGATTGGGAATGGTGGTGTTTTCCCCGACCTCGCCCCGAACACCCCGCGATCTATCTGAATCCTTCTAGAGATCTAACTGGGCTAGATGCCGTCCGCTCGCCCGGCGTGCAGGAGGGTAGGTGAAGCTAATGCCGGCGACAGGAAATGGAGTGGTGTGGTGTTCAATACCTGCAGCAGATGACGTGAGTAGCATCTCTGCTCAATTCAATTTCCTGCCAATCCCAACCCCAGCACAAGAGAAGGAAAAAAAGATGAGACGACGGGAAAGCTAAGGAGCCACGGGAGCTTTTAGTCTGCTCAAAGAGCTAATTTGTCTCGGAGAATCGTTGCATTCCTCCACCAGTTCCGAACGTGGCTAAGCTTTTGGGGGAGTCGGGGGGGCCAGGGGGGGGAAAAGGCAAGAGGGGTAATCTACTAAACTTTGTCTTCATCCCATTGACGGAAGAAAATTCCCAAGCTACGGCGACTACACCATCGCGAGTGGGGGACAGCCAAGTATCCCAGCATCATCCCAGACCTGCCAGGGGTGTGGAGTAAAGTAGGTACAGGCCGTTTCCTTTTTGCCTCTCGCCGGATTCTACGGTGTAATACCCTAAGCTTTTGTTGCTCGATCTAATTTACCCTGCAGGACTTTGGAGATTCGGGTTCGTTCTACCAAGCGAGGGGAGCAAGAAGCTGGGTTCCTGACCCTGGGAGGTGCGGCTGTCTGCTTGGGGTTGCATCAAGGGTTCGAGAGCTTTTCCTTGGCTGCACCGGCGTTCGACGGGGGACGGCGTGGCAAGGTTTAGGTGGTAAACGAAGCTGTCGGTATACTCGTAAAGGGTAAAGGGGGACCCGAGATGGTTCTCGTATATGAAGAGGATGGGCGTCCGGTGCGACGAAGGACCTCTGTGTCTGGTGTTGCTCCTACTTCTCCAGCTTCGTCTTCAGCTTCACAGTCATTACCACGCAGCACCCAGCAAGCAGCAGCACCTCCTAAAGAAGAGCTGAATCAGACAACCACCACAGAAGACTCCACGATGAAGCCTCAAGCCCTCCTCTCCGCCGCGGCCTTCCTCCCGGCCTTTGTCTCGGCTGCCCCGCCGGCAGACAAGAGAGCCGCGAAGCCTCCCGCCTTCTTCCTCGCCGGTGACTCGACCACCGCGGTGCAGTCTACCGGTGGTGGCGGTTGGGGCAACGGCTTCCTCAGCTTCCTGAAGAAGCCTGCGTTCGGCACAAACTACGGCCGCAACGGACGTACCACGGTCGACTATGTCAGCCAGGGACACTGGGCCACCGTCAAGGACGCAGTCAAGTCCAACACGGCCAACTTTGATGTCTATGTGACGATTCAGGTGAGTCTTACACTGCCTCATCCTTACCGTCACCTTCTGAGACCTGCTAACACGGCGATCAAATAGTTCGGCCACAACGACCAAAAGCCCGAGAAGAACATCTCCCTCGACCAGTACCAAACGAACCTCGGCAACCTCGCCAAGGAGATCAAGGCCCTCGGCGCGACGCCCATCCTCGTCACCCCTCTCACGCGCCGCAGCTTCAACTCGGCGGGCGTCGTGACCAACAACCTCTCCAACGAGCGCGAGCGCACCATCGCCGCGGCGACGGAGACTAAGACCACCTACATTGACCTCAACCTCAACAGCCGCAAGTACGTCCAGGCCATCGGCGAGACAAAGGCGCACTCGTACAACCTTGTCGAGAGCGACAACACGCACCTCAACGCCGAGGGCAGCGTCGTGTTCGGCAGGCTGGTGGCGGACCTGGTGCTGCAGAAGAACAAGGGGCTCGAGCAGTGGTTCACGCCCAACAAGACTTTGAGCGATGAGATTTGGAAGGCGATTAACAGCTCCACTGTTTAAGGGGGTTTACTTGGGAGACGCCTATCCTATCGTATTTTTTTCGTATTCAGCTGGATGTTGATAATATCTATTCAAATTGCTTCCTAACCTTGCTTCGTTGTCAATGATTGCTGTGGTGTAAACTTTGCTAAAATGTGAGATTTGAACTTTGTCGCGGGCAGAATATTACACATGCTTTGATGGGTGTCTAGGGGCCCTCATTCTTACTCGTCACTTTCCTTCCAGTCTGGAAAATCAGTCCTATGGATCCAGTGCAGGGGCCGAATGTGACAGTCCACAAGTCAAGCCAACTCCCTAATATGATCTTCCACTGAATGTGAGTTGGAAAGAGCTGAACTTTCCTTCTCCAACCTTTGAAGAACTAGAGAGCAGAATAAGATTATCTTACGAGGACGATTATGACAAGTGACGATGCCTATTTCGAGAAACCCAAAAAGTCTTGGGTCAACACGATCGAATTTCGCGTCGCAAGTTTAGTCGGGAAATCTCTGTCAGCCTCAAATCAGATTCCGCAGTGTATCCCGTCGGCTTATAGAACAGCAATTATACGTGTGTAAGTTGGAACCGGCCTTGTTAAAGTAGCCAACATCTGGCATGTACCGAACTGGCACGGCATTGGTAGTAATGCCAAGTGAAACCTCAAGTAACCTGTCTCCATCCCCGCTACTCATGCCGCCATGAGTCTGTGTGACTTTCCCACATAGTTGCTCTACAGATGGACCGTTGCTGGATGGAGAATGATGCGATTGTGATGCGAACAACCCAAGATCATGATCCTTGCATATGAAAACTCATGTGAAGGGGCTTAGCTACGCGGCTCGAGCTCCTAAAATGGTGCCGGAGGTGACGGTCACGAGGAGTTTTTTTTCGCGCGGGTCAATAAATCATACACGGCATGTGATATCGGACTATCTCCGGATGCTAAAACTGGGATAAGCTGCGTGTGCAACGGAAATCGAACCTGTCCTTGTGTCTATGTTCGTCAGCGTCAGAGAGAGTGGTGAGTATAGCGTAGTGAAGGCTGGGTGACTGCACTATCCATCTAGAGCATGGGCAGCAAGGATTCAAATCAATATCGGGTTGCAATGGAACCAGGAATGGCATATTTCAATGGAAAATTGAAGGTTGAGATGGAAAAGATAAGATAAGATGGAAGACTGGTGGAAGACTCGCAGAATGCGTAAAATGCATGTGAAGAAGGTGCCCCTCAGTCAAGGTACAGTGCGGCATACAGTGACCAAGCTCCCCCGCCTTCCCCAGAAAAAGATGCCATCCGACCGAGGTTCGTCCCCTCGTTTCGGCCCCTTCCTGCCCTGTTGCTGCCGCTGCTCCCCCAAACTCTGAGGTGGGAGCTTCCGTCCCGCCGTCAACGGAGGCTCGAGACCGGAGCTTACCTTAGGGCAGTGACGAAGTGGGATTGGACCGACCAACCTCCCCTCTTTAATCGGATCATTGTCCGCTCACCCAGTCTTTACTGTGCACTCGGAAAGTCGTACTTTCTTATTCTCTTACCTTATAGAGCCCCTCCCTCGGCTCTTGCGATACAACCAAGGTCGCGACATCCCACCAAGCTAACCAACGCCAGCTGCGCATCTCTTGCTGTTCTCCTCGTCGCGCAGCTTCCCAGTAGCTGCCACGGACTCCTTGTTCTGTGTTTCTCGGCTCCCAGCGTGCAAGCGCTCGACAACGCTGCATTCCTCACAAGACTTGGACCATGGTCCTGGCACGAACTCTCCGCCCCGCGGCGCGGGTGGCACGCCTCCTCGAGCATGCGGCGACGAGACCGACTATCCCCTCTCCTCTCCTCCGCCGACGTGCCCTGCCTTCGGGCATCGCCAGTGTTCACACCACCTCTCCAAAGACCCAAGAAGCCGCGGCCCTGCGCCAGGAACCACAGTCCGAGGTGGCTGCGACGATACCCGACGCCGCGCTGCGTATAGACCCAAAAGCACATACAGAACCAGAGCGGGTTAAAGTTGCTATCTTGCCGAGTCGCCAGAAGCTTCTTATCGCCGGTCAAACTCCCGGCCAAGAACATACGAAGCACATTGACGTGGCTTGGCTCCGAGACCGCTGCGGTTGCCCGCACTGCGTCAGTCCCTCCTCGGGTAACAAGTCCTTCTCCACCGCCGAAATCCCAAGCGGTATTGCCTTCGAGAGCGCAAAGGAGATGCCAGATGGTTCCCATGAGATCCGCTGGACAAACGACATCCCGCGTGCTGCCGACGTCGGCCACGTTTCCGTCTTTCCCGCCACCGGCCCCCAGAGTCTTGCGGGGTTGTTGACCGAACGGCCAGTCCTTTTCTTCCACCATGCCAGTGTAAAAAAGGCCGAGAGATATCTGTGGAAAAGGGAAACTCTTCTTGACAAGCTCGAGAGGATCGATTACAAAGACTACATGGAGGGAGGCCCGGCTTTCAGGTCAACTGCCCTCTCGCTCGCCAAGATTGGGCTCGTTTTCCTCACCAATGTGCCCCAAACCGAAAAGGCCGTAGCTGATATAGCTCTGAAATTTGGGGCCGTCAAGGAGACATTCTACGGCCACACCTGGGACGTCATCTCTAAACCCGATGCTGAAAACGTTGCCTACACCTCCTCTTACCTAGGCCTGCACTCGGACATGCTCTATCTCGACTCACCGCCTCGCATCCAGCTCCTTCATTGCTTGGAGAACTCGTGCTCTGGGGGTGAGTCCATCTTCAGCGACGCCCTACACGCTGCCACCTGGCTCGAGAGATTCCAACCCGAGTCCTACTCTGCATTGACCAAATACCTGGTTCCCTACCACTACGCCAAGAATGGTTTCTTCTACCGCCAGGCTCGACCCGTCATCGCTGATAAAATTGGAGAAGACCGTGAGGTCTGGTGGTCTCCGCCCTTCCAGGCCCCTCTCCCAGGCACGCCCGATAAAGCAAGCTCTGAAATTTGGCAAGCCTGGATCAAGGGAGCGCGGATATTCCAAGAAACCCTGGAGCAAGAAGACAACATGTACCAGCACAGGCTCCAACCGGGCGAGTGCGTGCTGTTTGACAACCGCCGCGTTCTTCATGGTCGCCGTGCATTCGACACGGCAAGCGGGCGTCGCTGGCTTAAGGGTACATATGTCGCCGATGAGGATTTCAAAAGTACCATACGGCCATTCCTTGAACCCATCTGAAGATATGGAGGACGGATCTGAAATCCAGAAGCCAAAGCGAACTTTATTCGCTCAGTCAGTCGAGATCATGTATGTAAATATACCTTAGTCTGGTGCATTTTGGAGAACCGGCATTGTGGTACTGGTTTTTAGTCACAAAGCATGTATACACGATGGAGTTACATGTCCAAATGGACATCGTGGTAAGCCAATCAAGGAAATTGCGGTTGCTAGTCTTGAATTACCTACGTATCGTCCAGCAACTTACTTTTCGACCAACGAAGCCTAACGCCAGACTGAAGAGGAATGAAGAACACGTGCTCTCTCCCTCTCATGATGCACTACTTTTTTTGTATCTGCGGAAAGGCAAATGCCCAAAAATCACTGCCCAAACGCCCCGTCGTCAATGTCATATCATGATGTCCCTCGAACCATTCCTACTAGGAGATGCCAATGCCTCCTAATCCGTACCAGTGAACATGCGTTTCGCTACTTATCATATGAGCCTCGCTTGAGCTGCATCAGCCGCCTCTAGCATCTCAAGACTCCCAGTTCTTAGCCTCGACACCTTCGGGAGGGACAGTCTCGACCTTGCGGTTCTTGACGTCCTCCCAGTCGGTGCTGAGCGAGGTGCCGTTGCTCTCGGTGAAAGACTTCATCATGGCGCGGCGTGCCTCTGGCGTAGCGTCCTTGTACAGCGTCTTGAAGAACCCGTTGATATCGGAGCTATCGTCGTCATCGGCGCCTTCGAGCTTGTCCCAGTTTTTAGGTCCGGACTTTGAAGAGGTCGGGTATGCGGGGCCAGAGGTCGCGGCGACCTTGGGTTGCGCAGTTGCGGTTGTAGCGGGCGATGGGTTGGACTTGTTCGCTGCCGGAGCGGCGCTGTCGGCGGGACGTTGAAGTGTAGGCCACTTGACGGCCTCCGCCTTCTTGAGTTGGAACTCAATCTTGTTCGCGGTGACGGTGTGCTTGGAGCCAGCGGGGTCGATGCGGCCATGGAGATGGATCGTGTAAGAGGGCTCATGGCCGGGAATGTGCGACATACTAATCTATGGGGGAGCTCTGTTAGCATTTGCCCGGGTTTTCGTGCTGATCTCAAACGCTCAAGGGAGACATACCTCAGATTCGCCATAGTCGACTTTGAAGTCGTCCTTGGGGATGTTCTTCGCAAAGACAGTCACAGTCAAAGTAGTACTGCTCTGGAAGAAGTCCACGCGCACATCCTTCTTTGGCTGTGGCTTCGCGACCGCCTCCGCCTTGGCAACCTCAATCTCCTCCTTTGTAAACTCCTCCACCTCATCCGTGTCGGGGGCATCGAGCGAGACGTCAGGCGCAAACTTGACCGTCACCTTTCTCTTCTCATCGTCCCCAGCAAGCTTCTCCAGCCCGCCCAGGATCTGCAGCCGCAAAGCGCAAATGGAGTTCCAGATCGCCCCAAACTTACTCTGCGCCGGATCCTCCGTCTGCCGGACAGCCGTTATCTCGTCCTGCAGCGCCTTCCTAGTACCCTGCGCAAACCCATTTTCGTCGACCTCGGGCGCTCTCAGCTCGGCCATGCTCTTGCCCTCGACCATGCGCTGGGCCCAGGTGGCGCAGGTATCCGCGTTGGCCAGCTCGCCCAGGCGGAAGTGGGCGACGGCGCGGCGGTACTGCGCGTCGGCCATGAAGGGGCGGTTGTTACGGCCGGCGGCGGCGACTTGGGCGAGCTCGGCGTCGCGGAGGGCGCGGCGGAAGTCCTTTGTGCCGATGTAGGCCTTGGAGCGGCCGATGAGCCACTTGGGGGATTTGATGACCTTGATCGCCTTGGAGAGCTGGGTGATGGCGGTTTCCCAGTCTCTGTTGTCGACGGCGGTCATGCCGGCTGCGCCAGCTGTGTATTCGGACATTTTGGAATGTTTGCACCTTTGGATGCTGGGGGAATGGGAGGTATCCGATGCGGAACGAAGTGAGCTTGGAAAGTCGAATGAGTGCTGTGCCGTATTGATAACTAGGACGAAGTCTCAAAAAAGAAGAAGCGTGGGTTGAAAGGAGATAGATGGCAACCCGTTTGCAGTAGAAGGGAGAAAAGCAAACGGCCAGAGAACAAACGGTGATGCAGGAAAGGTAGCTGCAGGTCCAACAAGGTTCGGTCGGTGCTGCCTCCAGCTCGGAGGGGTCAGACTGTTCTGGAAGCTGTGGTGGGGCAGCCTCCCCACTTTCTGCCGCTACGCTCGGTCAATATTCTCACCATCGGGCTCACCGAAATGGACCGGCTTCACCGAATATATGTCACGAAGCATCGCCTTATTCAGGTAATTGCAGAAGCAGCGCATATGTAAGGTAGACAAGATTGGTTTGATATATAGTAGTAATAGGAAACAAGACTCTCTCGCAACAAGAGTTCGGCCCCTCTATGAACATTCTGTAGGAAAATGTCAACAAAAAGTCGAAAAAAAAGTGACCACATGATGAATCGAAACACCGCCGCCGGAAACCCTCGGGAGCATCACCGAGGGAGTCCCCCGATCAAGCATCTCGACTCGTGGTGATAGCCGAAGCACTTTTTCTCCCTATAGCCTCCTGCCTCCTGCCTCATTCGAAGCTCATTACGCCTGTCCGTCCCGACGTCGTCGAATGCGCCGCTATAGTACTGTCACCCAACCCTGATTCGAGTCGTGGTAATTGTCGGGTACCCTACTTCGCAGTCTCGCAAAGTCCCAGAGTCTTTCATCAGTGCCTCAATGCAGAAATCGTGTCCCATTAAAATTAATTATGTTCTACTATTGATAAATGACCATGTTCTAGAAGTGAAGGCACCGGTCTAGATCTCTACAAGTCCCCCTTGTCGCTGATGCCAGGGGTGATCTTCTCATCTGGATATTTGCGGGCAAACATGCCAAGCGCCTTGATTGGGAACGTAAACTTGTAGTTAGGATACGCAATCGTGCAACTCTTGTTGAAAACGCCTTCCATCGTCTCCTGGAGCCATTCGCCGTTCGCCTGCTGGCGGTCCATGATGAATTGAATACCCTTTCGAAGGGGCTCTATGTGAGGGTACTCGGCCTCCATCAGGCCGATTAGGGCCCAGGCAGTTTGCACTACCAGGGATCCTCTCGGGTGTTCGTGGTACTCCATTGTCTCCGAAGCCTACGATCGTTAGTTCTGATGCCCGCATTCATTGCATAGGAGCTCACTGACCTTGTAGCTCTCGGACCATCCACCATCCTCTCTCTGCTTGGAGATGAAGAAGTCACAACCCCTCCTGGAGACCTTGCTGGTGCTGTAGGTGTCTCCTGCGAAGGCCAGACTCTCCAACGCAAACATACCCGCATAGGTGAAGCAGATACCCCAGCTTCCGTACCAAGAACCGTCAATATTCTGGTGGGAACGGATCCAGTTCACGGCCCGCTTGACAAAGATGCGGATGTCATCCTTGCGGTAATCGGGCCAGTGCTTCTGGAAGAGCGACAAGACCGTGACGCAGGCAGTAGTGCATTCGGGGTAGTCGTATTCGATCATGATGCGGCCAAAGACCTCGGCGGCATTGAGCAACTCCATGTACTCGCCCCCGCGACGCTGTTCGTATGAGCCCACGCCTCCGGTCTCGTTTTGGTAAAGAAGAATGGAGTCGATAGCATCAAAGATACGCTGGTTATCGAGAAGCTGAGGGTAGCCCTCGGTCTTTTGCAGCAAGATGACGGCCTTGAGAGCCTCAGAAATACAATCACTGACAGCGTAGCCTTGTTCCCTGTTGCTAAAAGGCCAGCCACCCTTGCGCTGCTGGCGGTAGCACTTGTCCGAATCTTTGCAGTTTTCACGAATCTGCTGTCTGTCGAGGAAGCCGAGGGCCTTCTCCAGCATGGGGCGCCAACGATCATCAGTCTCGAGACCAGCAGCGACCACTGACTGGATCATGAAGGCGGTGTCCCAGCATTGGACGCCGTTGGTGCCGTTGCCCAGCATGCCCTCGGCGTTGACCCAAAGCGAGTCCATGATTCTGTCGGCGTGTCGACGAACAGTGTAGGCTCCTGGGCCGTCCCGAATGTAGCAGACGATATGGTTCATCGGACCGTTGACTGGCGCCAGACCTAGGTAGTCCGTGTTTGCATCCTCCATGTCCACCAAGTCGCTGGTCCAAGCTTCAGCTCTCTCCTTGATCCAGTTTGTTCGCAAATAGGGGTTCCAGATGTTGACCAAGCACCAATTCACCGTGTTGAGCAGCCAGGACTTGGGGTTGTAGTTGTCGACCTGTGCAATACTGTTGCGGTTCGCCTTCCAGTTAATGGATGCCCAGTTCTCGGGGAAGAGCTCCTTCTTGAGGTCACGAATGACTTCAGTCTCTTCACAAGTCCAGCGCTTGGAGTATACGTAGGACATTGGTAGGAAGACTTGGCGAATGTGAACCCACCACCGCCAAGGGGCGATAGGCACCCAGTCTGGCAGCAGCCAGATCTCGGGAGGAACAGGGTTGACAATCTCCCAATCCACAACTCCCAGAACAGCGAGCCACCACTTGGCCCAGTGCGGCCCTTTCGTTGCGCCACCGAGCTCATGGAGTCTTGCTCTGGCCTTGACCATGATGGGCTCCTCTGCATCGACGCCAATGAGGCGCAAGGTTGTGTAGTTCATGGAGGTGCCAAAGACGGTGCTGATACCCTCGGTATGGAGACCCCAGCCACCCAACTCAGGATGCGCGCGGGCGAAGAGATAGTTCTTGATTTCGGTTGCGAAAGCGGACGAGATGGGCGTCTTGGTGACATACCAGGCGATAACGGCACTTGGGAGGAGGAACATGGGGCCGCCGTATTCGCAACCCCAGTCGCCGTAGGGAAGTTGCAGCTTTTCGACAAATTCGAGGCCATTGCGTGTCGCATCAAGAGGGTTTTCTGGCTCGGGAAGGATTGGGAGGTCCTGTGTGTGCGGGAGACGTGTTAGCGAAGAACAGTGGCATATCCGTCACTCAAAGTCGCAACAGTATAAGGTGGACTGACAAGAGGAAGACCCAAGTAGTACTTGTCGGCGTAGGTCTGGGGCCATTCCTTTGCGGCATCGTCGCCCTCTAGATACTTCCAGGTGTGTCGACCGTCCTCGTCCTTCATTCTCCATTTCGTGCGATCGGTTTTGGCGTCGATGCGGGGCTTCTTGGGCCATTCCTGCTCGGCGATGGCTTCTGCGACGCGCTTGCGAGACTGAACGGATTTGGCTCCGAGAGTGCCATTGCTCGAGGCAACGGATGGGGCTTTCTCGGCGACCATGGCAGGCGGTAATTGTCCTCTTTGTGACGTCGGTTGAAGTCGTCGACGTTGTTGCGGTGCAGAGGAGGAGCGATGTTGAGGGCCGCCTGGATCGAATTGGAGGGTGGTGGGATGGGATTCATGCACTTGTTAAATGGTGGCCCAGTCAGCTCCCAGAAGGCGGCGCCCCCTGCGCGTCTCTCTGAGGCGGTGTCCCTCCAATGACAGGAAGATGCATGTTCTCGGGAGAAACCCACCACATCCTCGTACGAGATCCCTGCTGGAAATCAGGATTTGGTGGAGATGGAAACAGGGTCATCAGAGGTGTTCATAGTCCATCTTGATTGACATTGACAGTCCTTGGACTCTCGAGGCATCGTTGATGGTTTGTCGCAGCTGACTTTGGCTCAAGATTGTTGGGGGCATTTCAGCTGTACATAAGGTAAGTTGACGGGCGAAACGCAAATTCCCAGGCCATTTGACAGGTGCCAGGATGTCGCACAGTTGCAGACCAGCGCAAAATAAACTTCAGCGGCACCGGCTTTCGAGAGCCTAATACCAAAGATAGCTTAGGTAAGATTAGCTAAGCTGTCCATCACTCCATCTTTTGCTGATTATGTAATGACTTACCATTTCCCCATGCCGCACGGTGCTCTTCCCACTAGCGGCATCTCTCTCATCATTGGCCAATGGCTGTTGATTGTGGAGCGCCTCCTTCGTCCGTTCCTGCAGCTCCCACCTCCAGCTTCTCTTGCACACCCTCTTCTTCGTACGGTACCAACCCTCCAATGAAAGACAATCCGCCAAAATCCTAGAGTCTGACCAAACTTTGCGCGCGCGTCTGGAGGGTTTCGAGCTTTGTCAGTTCATTCTCAGAATCATTGCCTTGTCTTTGATTTGATGGACCTTGCTACACCCCCATTGCTCAACGGCCGCCAACAGGGCCAACTAACGACACAGCTGTCTAATCCGAGTCAATCTAGCAACGTCGTGACCATCCCCGATCCGGATCCACATAGGAATGCCATCGGGCTCGCCATTGTGAAGTTGGAAGATATCTTGATATCTGCCCGAGAATCACTGCTACAGTCTCGGGAAATATCTATCCCCTTCAGGACCCGACCTTCCAGAAACCGATCAGTGGACAATCATGTCTCATCTCGGACGACACGATTAGCAGTTCGCTTTCCGGGCCGCACAGTGGAGGAAGCAACCAAGTTCAGTTCGTAATCATGCTTGATTGACGGGAATTGTTCCTGACGTTTAGCCGATACAGCACGTATCATGCGCATCATGCAACTGTCCCTGAGCGCCCTGACGGAAGGCCGGCTGATAACCAAGAGGTGTGCGCTCCATGATCTGCCTCCTGATGGTGTCAAGTGCTGAGAGCATGGCGGAACAGGAACATCTACTACCAGGACACCGGTTTATTCAAAAGCCAGTCCATCGTCGACAACCTCGTTGATGACCTTGCCTTTACACTTGGCCTTGGGAGGGAGGATCTCGGCATAGTAAGTGGCCGCTGTCCTTGATAGACGTCATCTTACAAACGTTCCTCAGGTTGCGGCAAGTAAAGGCCTCGTATCGGGGCCTGTTATCATGCGTTCCAGGACTTCCGAAATTGACGCCGCATCAAGCGAGCATGTATGAAGTCCCAAGACTCGACCACTACTACTGCTGACCAAGATCCAGGGGGCCCTTATACCCTCGGCCAGGACCGTCTCCAAGATTGACTTTGGTCCTGCGCAATGGGTCTTAGTCATTGAGAAAGAGGTTAGACAGGGCTGATGTTGGCTACAGAACGTTGCTGACTGGAACAGGCAACCTATCGGACACTAGCATCGGCGAGGTACTAGGAGACTTCAGCCTTTGGCATAGGCATTCTGGTCACAGTCAGTAGAGTTGCCTACGGGAACATAGATACTCCAACTTTCTGACATATCAATAGGGCAAAGGTTACCCAGATTTGAACACCAAACAGTTCGTACATCTCCTCCACACAGCCAAGCCTGAGCTTCCCATCTTCGCTCTTGTGGACTTCGACTGCTATGGCATCGCCATCATGCGCTGCTATAGCCACGGCACAAAGGGGCATGCACACGAAAAGGCAACGACTGTGCCTAACATGCAGTGGCTCGGCGTAAAAAGCGACGATCTCGCTTTCCGTCAGGATGCAACCCCTAGCTACGGGCCTGATATCAACAGCAGCGAAAGGCGGCCCGGTGCGAGCACGTTCGAGTCCTCCAGCACTCTTACTTTACGAGACAGAACGCGCGCTATCAACATGATCAAAGAAATCGAAGAGGACGGCACCGAAAATGATCGAGATTGCCGACGAGAACTACAGGTGATGCTGTTTCTCGGCATCAAGGCAGAGATCCAAGCTGTGGACACTACAGGAGACATGTCGAGATGGCTCGATGAGCACCTGAAAACTTTCTGATCTGCCGCATTCGCGCATGTGCGTTTCTGGGGCTGTCTTTGGAATCTTTCTCTCGATTTAGGTGCTGGCTTGACGTTTGCTTTTGGGCTGGCACAAGGTGAACAGTGATGTCCATTGCAGAGGAAGAGGAGCCGTGCGGAGTGTGCATACCAGCTTCTAACACTGTACCTCCCCACACATCACCCGAAAATTTCTACCTCACTTTCAAGACTCATTTTAGATCCTCAGACAGCACTCACAAAATCTCACCGAAAATGGCACCCAAACTCTCAGAAGAGGAGATTGACGATCTCATTTACTTTTCAAGGGCCGGCGAGCTCGCTGATCTCGAAGAAACTCTCAAGTCCCTGTCGGAGCGCGAAGGCGCTTCCGTAGGCGAGATCATCACCGCCGCCAAGGATGAGGGCAAGTCAACCTGCCTGCACATGGCTGCCGGTAATGGCCACCTCGGTAAGTCCTGGCTTCATTTTCAGTCCGGAGATTTCAAGAATTTTTACCTGACTCGTTGTACAGATATCGTGAAGGCTCTTATCACAGCCTTTGACTGCCGTCCCGCAGACGAGAAGAAGGCGTACGTTGACGCCGGCAACGAATTTGGCAACACAGGCTTGCACTGGGCGTGCTTGGGTGGACACCTTGAGGCCGTAAAGTACCTCGTCAGCCACGGCGCTTCCCCCGCGGTGGCCAACGACAAGGACCAGATTCCTCTCGACTCGGCGCTTTTCAACGACAAGCGAGAGGTCGCGGACTGGTTCCTGGCGCAATCTGAGAAGATGGAGGGCGGAAACCAGGAGGAAGGTCTGAGTGGTGCTGCGTCTGGTATTGAGATTGAGGATGATGGTGCCGTTGAGGAGGACAAGGGCAAGGATAAGGCTGGCGAGAGCAGCAAGAGCTCATAGGGTGGATCTGGCTTATGAGTTAAAGACAAAAAAATCAAATGAGTGAACGACTGTTGACGACGCCCGAGCGGGCTCTTTTGCTGTGTTGAGAATGGGGGCTATTTGAGGAGTTTACTAGACTCCATCTACTCGCAACAGCAAGCGAATTGACTTGGCAAGGACTGCATCGAGTTGCAAGGGTCATCCATCACACCCATGGCTCCTTTCGAGCTCGACCATCTACAAAGGCATCTCAAACTCGCGACAGTATTGCAAGGTTCCAAGACAAGAACTCCTTTTTCGACACTGTTCGTGGCACCTGCTAGTCATTGATGTCCGTTTCATATCAACAACTAAATATTAAATCATATGATGCTGTGCCCCCTTCATGTTAAGGAATCTAGAATCGGCTGTCTTAGGTGCATATCCGATGCAGGGGTAAATTGTCACCACACGAGGCATTCTTCATGTTTGCTTGCATGCGGGTTATATGATAGCTATCTACCCATAATTATATGTCGAATGAGCGAAAGAAGAAGAGTTGTTAACAAGGTTCCGGAATCAAATAATAAGATGACAGAAAAGCCAGTGAAAGAATAGGAGCTGCCAACGAATGTTCCGCACTCCTATTTAGAGACGCAAAGGAAAAAAGGGAGAAAATCTCAACTATACTCTCCCAAACTGCTGCTTCAGTAGCCCTACGTCTTCTGAGTTCTCGACCACCTAAAGAGCCCGCTTCTCAAGCCCACACTTCTTCAGACACTCCTCAACCTTCAACACAAGATTCTTCGGAATAGACTGGCGCACCCGGTCAATATCCTCCCCAGCAATGCTCGACCCAAACGAAGTCTCAATCACATCGTCGCTCAGCGCAAACAGCTGCGCCGCCACCATGGCGGTGCCGCCCTCATCCGAGGTGAAGGACACGACGGCCGAGGCCGGGGTACACCCAGGGTTCATCTGGGTGTGGAAGGAGCCCTGGGGGAAGACCGTCATCTGGTTCGGGCCCAGGTCGGCTCGGATGACGCGCTGCTTGCCGGAGGCGTCGAGGACGCCGGCTTCGGGGACCATTTCGGTGATGAGGCGGCCCGAGGTTACGACGAGGAGTTCGGAGGCGCGGGGGTGGAGGTGGAGGAAGGACATTGCGCAGGCTTTTTATTCGTTAGTAGCTTCATCTTTGGATCTCTGGAGTTGTGTCTTCGAAAGTACCGGGTAGGGAGGCGACGGCCATGCTACCACCGAGGCCGGTTACGGCGGGGAAGGTTTGGCGGTTGGCGAGGGCGATATGGGATTTGTTGAAGTCGTAGACGAAGTATTCGTCGTTAGGGAGGAGACGGTATCGGGCTGCACCGCTAGTAATGTATTAGCAGCTGATTTCAGTGTCAGTCTAAGTTGAGAATTTTCACTCACCTCTCCGCGAGTTGAAGTTGAGCAGTCAAGCTGAGACCCGTGGCCGACTCGTTGTCTCTCCGATGAGGAGCAGCCATGGCGAGGGAGGACAGGGCCATGGCAGCAAGGGGAAGGTTTGCGATGAGCATTTTGATGGTTGTAGATGTCAGTGATCTGAGGAGGATGAGTATTAAAGCAGTTGCTCTGATGTAGCTGGTCTTGTAACGAGTCTGTTGATCCAAATCACTTCACCTGGGTATTATAATGGCTTTTATATGAAGATATTGACAACTTCAACGAAGCATCTCAATGCATCTGCGACATTACATTCCAAATCATCTTGATCCATATCACCATCTGACAGTATCCCAGCTCTGCCCCGTCGCAGCTCGAAGAAAACATAAGCCATCTCAAAGGCTTCAACTACTCTATCTAGCTGAACACCGCCGCGCTCGCTGCCTTGAAGATTGCCCGACAGATGAAGTGACAAATAGTTCTTGACAGATTCCTGAACAGGATTGGCTCATTTCTGCAGTCATTTCCACAATAGGGCGCAGTCTGGTCCAGTTGACGGGGCCCCAGATGGAGCCGAGGCTGAGTCTGACGCGCTGACGTAGTCTAGTAGACTTGCTGAAATCGCCGAATCGGGTCACCATATCACCACTATGTACAATAAGATATCACCTAAATGGACCGGCGAGCTCCAAACGGGCGCTGAAGAAGTCTCAGCCTTCGGTGCGGTCGAACTGCGGACATTCACGGCGTAACGACCGGAGATCGCACTTTGCTGATAGCGCCGTCCGCACCTTCCGTAGATTCACCTGTCATTCCAGGCTTTCATCTGATATTCTCTTCACTGCCTGGATAAACGGAACACACATCGGAAGAAAGCTTCATATACCCCGTCAGTCCCATTCCTGTCACCAGCCAGCAGGCGCCCGTCTAGGTCGACGGGTCAGGTCAAACTGGCTGGGTGGTGGAAAGGTTAATGGTCAACAATCAATTACGCCCACAGCCTACTCGACGACAGGCTCCGAGTTCGAACCCCAGCATGTGCACCAAGAGATGTAGCCACACCGGTGGTGAACTCTTTTTTTGTTCGGCTACTGAGCTGATCGAATGCTACTCTATATTCACTTAGGATTGTAGGAAATGCCCAGCTACTCCTCACTTGCATTTTCCCTGTCCCCTAGGCAACGAATTTCGACAATTTCTTTTCTGTTTGGGGTACATCCTATCTATCGTTAAGATTGTTAATTTGTACTTCTTGTTTACATAAAGGTATGCTGATAGCTGTTACATCTATTCCAAGACGGTATGGATGGCGAAGGGGACAAAGTCGTTGACCGAGCAAATCACAAAGACGCAGGCTGCTTCAGGAAAAGCTTGCCGTCTCTGTCTGATCAACCTTCATGGTTCCCTACTATGCCTATGCCGCTTCCATCACGGTTTCTTCCTAAGGTTTCCCCCTGTCTGCTGAGCACAATCTCCTTCGACTGATGTAGAGACTAACCACTTTAACAGGTTCCCTTGGTTTCAGGCTATTCATTCTAGCTTTGAAGCGGCTGATATTACAAGATATAGGCCGCCGTCTAATTTAAGCCGTAAAATGATTGAGGACTTTGGAAGGTTCTTTCTTACAATTCTAGCCATCACAGTGACTTTATAGCGGAGTTTATAATAGGAACATCATAGAGTCATCTAGCACAATAATGCTCTATCTGTTACATGTCTGTGCGCTTCACTCTATCAGTGTTGTTGAATATCAGAGAACCTGTCGGTGTAAGAGTCACATCGGGGCTGAGTAAGTGCCGACGCCGCCACCTTGGCCAGGGGTCTCCAATTACTGAGTCAACGACAATGTTTAAAGTATGAACTCGTGCCTTTGTTTGTGAATGGTACTGAATTTACTGTACGAGACATATTCCTTTTTGTCCACAATAAAATAATCCTTCAAATAACGAAATTTCTTCATTTCTCCTTGAACTAGCATTGGCAGTTTTGATCACCCTTGACACCCATGGCGCCCGGAACATCATCCCGCAACACGGCTCAAATGCCACGCCTCTTCAGCGAAAGCGAGCTCCGTCGCTTCGAAGACTGCGCCAATGAGAACCAAACCCTCGCGGACTGCTGGGCAGGCGAGCAGATCGTCATCGTAGCCTGCGAGCTATCAGACAGATACCAGTACGCCGACCAACGCAATTCCAGAGCGATAGAGATAAATGTCATGTCACCCGCGGACAAGTCTATTTGGCGATCCTTACCTCTTGATGACAAGAAGCATGACGCCTTCAAGAAACATTGCAGCACCAGAACAATTCGCATGCTTGAGAAGTCGAAAGTCAATAAGAGTCTTCAGCCAAAGCCTTGGTCGTGGTATAACGTCGCCGCTGCGCATGAGACGTTTGAGCTCTACGAGGATGAGGCGCGGGCTAAGGCACAAGAGACGTTTGATGCGCTGGGCGGTCAGGCGTACGCGACGGTGTGCGTTGTGAGCTACGATCTTCGCGAGACCATGGCTGCGCTGGAGTTGTTCAAGGTTAAGTTGCCTTCTTCCAAGGTTGTGTTTGTGGACTTGATCAAGGTGCTAGAGCATCAGACGAGGGGCGAGGGGGTTATTCCGGAGCAGCTGAGAAAGTACACCGATGACAATATTGCGACGAGGAACGGGAAGCTTGATAGGCGGCCTGGGACGCCGAGGGGCTATCTCGGGATGCCGAGCATAAGGTTGTTGGAGGTAGTTGGGCCTGCTGCTGAGAGCCATAGGGCGGATCATAAGAAGCTTGAAAAGGAGAATGTGGCCTTGGAGAAGATTGTCAAACGGATTCGCAACGGATAAATTCTTGGATTCTTGAGGTACTCTGACGTTGGTTTCGTTATCTTAGCCACTGTCTGATTGGACGAGGTCAACTTCCTTCTCCATCAACAACGTTAATCGAAAACGGCAGTGATGTAGTTTGACATGAGCCAATGATAATCCGATGTTCTAGAGCCACTGCCTTTGAAGTCTTCCTCGTTCTATTGTACTTGGAGCTATGTTGCGTTAGACGAACCGAAGCCTGAAGCTACAACTTCATACAGGTCTAAGATAGTCCGCAACTTCAGTTTGCTGAGCGTAGGCATTCGCGATATTGGCACGATGGGCTTTCTCGCCTTCCAAGAAGAAGTTCCGAATCTCTTCCGGACTCATCTCCGGACGCACGCTCTTCAGATTCTCCTGAATTCGCCGCAAGCCTTCTCTGGCCTTTGCGCGGATCGAGCCAACATTAACGCCTACCAACTTGCCGTCTCGCTTCAAAATCTTCCCATCCACCATGACCAAGTCAACGTCAGCGGGAGTAGAGTGAAGCACAGCAGTACCTAAAGGATTCGCCGATCCGCTGAGCGCGCGCTTGCTTGTGATGACAACTATGTCAGCACGCTTTCCAGGTGTCAGCGTGCCAATCTTGTCACCGAGACCGACGGCCTCGGCACCGTTCCGTGTGCCCCAAATCAGGGCATCCCGGACGCCAAAGTCCATCTTGAAAGAGACTCGTTGATCGAGGTGTTCTGCGCGATGATCTAGCCCGCGCTGCACTTGTAGCTGTAGTCGCATCTGAGATAGCAGATCGGGCGGGACAGCGCTCGACGTGTCGATGCTCAGCGATGGCATCAGACCATGGGCGAGAGCTAATCGCAGGGGAGGAAAGCCCATGCCCATCTGTATATCAGTGTCAGGCGCCAGCGCGACTTTGCCTCCTGTCTCAGCGATGAGACTCATCTCATGGTCCGTCAGGTTCGTGCAATGGATGTATACGTGCCCGGGGTGCATGTATCCCATATCTGCCCTGACCTCCAAGTCGCTCGTGAGGTTGGAGGCGGGAACGGCGCTCGAGTGCGAACAGCAAAGAAGATCTTTGTCCTGGGCGAGTTTCACTTCGTCGCCCATCCAAGTGAAGGGTGTCGTGCCTGACTGGCTGAGCTGTAACGCCACGCGGACGAGTCCTTCGCCTGAGTCTTCCTTGGCCATCCTTTCAACATGCTCCATGCGTGCTCGCCAGCCTTCTTTGCCCGCAGGAACGTCACCGTACTGATCGCCACTCATGCCGTAGCAGAAGAAGGCCCGGATCCCAGAGTCCTTGAGACCCTGAAGCTCCGCTTCTGCGTGCTCCGCCGAGTGGAAGGACTCGCAGGTGTCCATGATGGTAGTCACGCCGCTATCGATAGCCTCGAGGGCGCCTACAAGAGCTGAGGTGTGCATATCCTCCACGCCTGTCGCGGGCAGCCACCTGGTGTACGTGTTTGAGAGGAAGTGCCACAGGTGCTGATCTATGCCGATGCCGCGGGTAAGGCACATAGATACGTGACGGTGGGTGTCTACCATCCCGGGGATGACGACGCCTTCGGTGGCATCGATGACTTCGGCATCTGGTGCTGATATGTCGCTTGCGTTGCCGACGGCCTTGATGATGCCGTTCTCAATGAGGATAGCACCGCTGTCGAAGTCGCCAAGGGATTCATCGAGAGTGACAATGTAGCCGCCAGTAATGAGGTACTTGCCAGACATTGTTGTTGAGATTCTAGTGAATATTGGGGGTCTATGGTATGAGGGTTCCCAAGGTGATAGGATGAGAACTAAGGATGTGGTTTTGATGACCTTGTTTCGACTACTGAATTCCAGGGACCATTCGACTATCTCGCTTTCATTTATGTCCTTTCGCAAGTCATGTTCGCGCTCTTTCGAAAAGCGCGAAGGTGGACAGTAACTGTCAGAATACCGACGCTCGCGCCTCGCGCTGTTGAGTTGCGCGTGTTTGGAGTTCATCGACATTATCAACGGGCTTTTCACGCGTCCCGATTTCCGTGATAAAACCACTTGATCCATCAATGAATCACTATCAAGCGGGACTGCGTGGTACTCATGAGCGGATCACAGTCTGCCAGCTCATGGTCTCTAGGGTATCCTACATTCACAGCTTCACCTGAGTGACTACATACGAAAGTCACACGATGCTAACACACCAGTAGATCAAACAATTCTTAAAAGCCACCGGCTTTCCCCCCTAGAATCAACAAAAGACGGAAAGACATACTTCTACCTAGTGCCGATGATTGAGGATAAAACGGATTTTTCCAGGTTGAGTGTGCAAGATAGTAATCGATGAGAAAGATCACGACGCCTAACAGGATGAACAACTTCTGTGCGTACTCAGGATGCAGGTGCTCCGCATCGTAGTAACCGCTGCGGCGAGAATGTGGATCGGTAGTCGGCGCCGGTTACATTGGGCTCACGGGCCGCTCCGTGAGCCAGAACACAATCGGATGCATCGTGCATTTGTGGTAATTTAGCAGAGAGCCTGATCGGGGCAGGGTAAGCGCTCGAAATGTCCCGTTCCACAATTTCAGGCAACACTTTTGGAGTCATATGAAAGACTTCACCGTCTCCCAATTTGTGGGACGCGGGGTTTACGAGATTTGGCGATGGGCAAGGCAACTTAGACGGGTGCTTTCAAGTGGTGTTGTCAACGAGTAGTTAAGTGGAAGATCCATACAACCTAGGTTTCGTCACTCCGTGCTACCTTACTTCGGTTTGCTACCTTAGACAGGCTCCGAGAAGCCCGTCCATCTCCGTAGCTTGCCCTTCAGACAACACTTTGTGTCTCTGAAGAACCTGCGATTCAGCCCCTCGCCAATAATCAACAAACGCAACACGCCGAAATCTTGCGATCCGCCACCATCGTGAGTTTTCCAACAAGACACCTTCGCTGAGGCTCGTCACCCCCTAAAGTTGTCTTCCCGCTGATCCAGATGGTTTGAACCAGTGCCTTGAGCGATGCCTTGAAGATCATCGACAACGCTGAGAAGCAGGGCCAGCGCCAAGTGGTGCTCCGTCCTTCCTCCAAGGTCATCGTGAAGTTTCTCCAGCTCATGCAGCAGCATGGCCATATCTCGGACTTTGAGGAGGTCGATGACCACCGAGGCGGCAAAATTGTCGTTCAACTCACCGGCCGGTTCGTGATCCATGTCTCCTGATTGTTATGCGAACAGTTCTTGGCTGACCCTTTTCAGATTGAAAAAATGTGGCGTCATCAGCCCTCGTTTCAACGTCCGACTGGGAGACCTGGAGAAGTGGGTTGTCTGACTTCTGCCTGCCTGCCAGTTCGGCCATGTCGTGCGACTCGTGCTTACCACGTCCGCCGGTATCATGGATCACAACCAGGCCCGCAGAAAGAACGCCTCGGTCAAGATCCTTGGATACTTTTACTAGACACTCCCAGACATAGAAACATGTATATGGAGCCTAGGCATTGTGAGGGGGGCTTAGCATTTGGCACATCGGAGAACTTGTTCAAGGAACTCTAGAGAACCCCTCGATGCGGAAAACTCAACAGAAAATTCAATAGCAATACCGTTGCATTGACAGAAGTACCGTTTTTGGAGCATCCCATCGTGAAATTTCCTGATGAACTGGGTGCAAATCTTGCTGAATCCAGAGGACCGAGAGCAAATCACTTGGCCGGCAGTGTTTTTGGATTGGATGCTGGGTTGACATATTCCAACTCCATGTGGATTTTGACGAAAATGATCGCGATACTTGATTAGGTAAGTGGATGATTTGCAGGCATTCTCTCATTGGGTCCTTCTTTGTGCAAGTGGACCCTTCCCGGGTTTCTTATCGATAAGAGCAGTGCGACACCGTGCAGACGTGGGGGTCCACTCATCTTGAGTTGCGCCTTCCCCATTTCCACTTGGGATGTGTGGGGAAGGGGGGCATTTTTGGGGGAGGAGCAGCTCAACACGCCCATCCCCCGCGTTGTGCCAGACACCTGAGGCGCAACTCTGCTAATCTCCAATTCCATCTCATCTTGCGCCCACCTCCCGTCTCCATCTCACCGGCTGTCGCGAATATCTTCAGCCCGCCCTGCGCAACTTGCTTGGCGTGCTACAACGTACCCGCATCCCTTGCCCATGAGAGTATCACCGCCTCAAAAGGTACATACGGGCTCAGCAAACCATAAATCCAAGCTACGCTTAAGCACCAAGCGTCTCTCTTGATGATGCTCTCATGACCGTTGTCGATGGCGAGCCATCCATCTCCCGGCCAGCCTGGTAGTGCTGCAGCCAACTACAAGCGTGCAAGTCGCAGAGGTGCTCCTCGACGATTCCCCTGCGAACACCCGGGTTGCGACAAGTTATACTCGAGAGCAGAGCATCTCCAGAGGCACCAGTTGAACCGTGAGTCAACTCCCCTGTCCAGTCGCAGCCCTCGTAATGTCACAAAGCGCGGCCTGACGCGTCTCTATAGACAATCCCAAAGAAATCTTCATTTGCGATATCCCTGGTTGCGATCAGAAGTTTGTTCGCGCTGATCTGCTGTCGCGTCACAAAAAGCGTCACTCATCGTCGTACATCCCTCGAAATCGCGCGCCCAGCTTCGCCTCTGCCGCATCTGGCAACCAATCCGGCCCGGCTGTGTCATCTCCGACTTCTGGCGCACCATCTCGGCCAGCATTTCCTCAGCCTTCAACAAGCGGCCCTCACGATGCCGCCATCTTGCTAACTCCCGATTCTGCTACGCCCACACCGACAACGGGTGCATCAAACCCGTCCCTTGCTCAGCATGTCAATAGGATCAGCCAACCTACCACCTGGCCGTCCATCGATGATATGGCTGTCGAGATGATGCGACCGAAACCGCCTTATTACGGACGCGATCAGATGACCCTCCCCGAGGCACCACCTCTTATGCCGTCCTTTGACCCGAGAGGATTCCAGCCCGACGAGGCACTTTCACGGGAGAACTTTGCCGTCTGGCTATTTGACTCTCAAGCAAGCTTCAGCGACTTCAATGGAGTCGCCAACCTTCCCTTCCTCGAAGGTGGCCTTGAATCAACTTTCAACAACAACATTCCCTATGACTACGAGTCACTAACGAGTCGTTCACAGCTGGATCCGACGCCACCTCGGCAAGTTGAAGTTAGCGACGAACTCATTAGTGAGCACCGGCGGCAGGAGGTCCTCAGGTGGCTGAAGGTTTTCCGACACAAGCAACCCAAGTACGAGCCGCGTATCGTTAGTCTTGTACAGGAGAGCAACGGAGACTTACCTGCTCTGAGTCTCGAGATGATGAGAGATTGTTTACAAGAATATTGGAAGAGGATCTCGCCACGCTTGCCGATCGTTCATCAGCCAACATTTTCTTCGAATCGCTGCTCCATCTTCTTGCTACTCGTGATGATTGCCTTGGGAGCTGCATCATTGAGTAGCAGAGACTCGACTGGCAACTTGGAACCGTACGGGGGGCTGGCAGACGTAATTATCTCCAGCAGTCGGTGGGAAATTCTCACTCATGAGGAGGCTTCAGCGCCGGTGGGCCTGTCCATAGCTCAAGCAATGCTGTTGCTCGAGTTCTACGAGAAGATATTCTCTTCCAGGCGCATGCACGAGAGATCGCATATATACCACTCGGCCTTGTTGAATCTTCTTAGGAGAGGAAGCCCTCTAATTGGACGAGCAGGAAGCGAATCGCCCCCAGAGGAAGAAGCCCCGGCACCGAACGACGGACCTGCTTCGGACTCGAGAACGTGGTGGGTTCGATGGGCCGAGAGCGAATCCATGCATCGCGTCGTTTTTGCGGCCTTCATGATGGACACTGTCCATGCAGCCATGTTCGGCCACAACGCCGATATGGCTCCGCATGAGATCCGACTTCCCCTCCCATGCGACGATGGTTTGTGGACAGCCGCGACCCCGAATGTCTTCCGACAACTCGATGGGAACTACAGAATGTACGGTATCAAGCAGGTGTCCTTTCTCGATGGACTGAAAAGTGCTTTGCACGGACAGGAAGTCAAGACACACACTTTTGGACGCATGATTATCATGTCGGGCTTGCTTAGTGTAGGATGGCATCTGTCCCGTCGAGAGTCTCACCTCAAGTGGCTTGACCTGCGCACACCCAGCACGGAGACCCACGACAGCTGGAAAAAGATCCTTTTCCGCGCTTTCGATGAGTGGAAAGAGTCCTTTGACAGCGCTGTTGGTGCGAACGATCTATCCGAAGGGCTAGGACAGCCACCAAGCTCCAACGGGCCCATCCACTCGGCCGCTGTTCTCTACCACCTAGCCCATATCAGTCTTCACGTTGACATCGTCGATTGTCAGGTATATGCCGGCGCAAAGCGATTGGTCGGTCGCAAGGTCTCAACCCGCGATCATGCCAATGCTGTTGCGAGAATGAGGACCTGGTCGAATGCACCATCCACCAGGCACGCCGTTTTGCATGCCTTCAGACTGCTCTACCGGGTTCTTGTAGACCACAAAAACCCAAAACGGCGGACGAGCAGCTTCGGCGCTTTGCCTGAACCGGTCTCTGTTTACTACTCCTGCCGCAGCGAGCCGGATCCTCATCGGCCGTGGATCATGTACTATGCGGTCTTGACAATATGGTCTTTTGTACAGGCTCTGGGCATCCCCAATAGGAATACGCCCCTAGGAAGGTATAGCGAAATTGCTCGTTACCTGGCCTACTTCTCGAGTCTGGAAGAGTTGAATGAAGAGGCCACG